CTGCAGATGTATAAGGCAGTAGAAAGGTTCAAGATCTGTACTTAATTATCCTCATGTTCAAAAAAATTCTACCCTTAATTTTGAAAAATTGGGCATAGGTTCCCCGGATGACCCCTAACCGGGGGCCAACGGTGCTTCCACAAGTTCAACAAGTGAAAAATACATGATACAAAATGTACATGTATTTACTACCTGGAACTTGGAGCAATTTATTCCAAGGATGTTAACTGACATTAATATATTAAAAACTAAACCAAATCCTATTTCTCAAACAAATCACATATTGACACAGCTGAACAAATAAAAATGTGATCATGTTTATAAACTCCACTCAAAAACAATTTTTGAGAGACACTCGGGTCACGGTACAAAGCGTGATAATCTCTAATATCTCATCTGATTCTCCCAATGTAAAGGGTCTTTACAATGACAGCATCCAACCGCACATACATAGAAACAACAATATTACACAAGAAACCAATTAATTCGGAAAATTTCTCAGTAATGTTTGAAAATTAACCTAACTAAAATATAACTGAATTTTTATTTCAGTTGTAGCCGAAAAAATATTTTTCATGCGTTTAAAGTATCGTTTTAGCACTGTAATGTGTACTTATTACATGTATCTATACATTTGGATGCTATCTTGACCTTTGACCATTGTTATTGAGAAAACAGGTCGGCCATGTTGTCTTTCTCGCCGTGAATTTTCGAGCCGTTTTTTCGAGCAAATTTCAACCGTTTTAAACATTTTACGGCCTCAAAAACTCATATAACGAGGAAAACAAGTTGTAGTTGTTATTTTCATGCGTAACATTTCTTCTGGGGATGGATTATTTTTCCGTCGAGCTGCCGAAAACTTAGCGCCATGCCGCAACCATGCGATCGGGCGCGGCCGGCCGGCGGGAGTTTTACTTTGTATCGGTGAGCTTTCGCGATGTAAACAAAGACAGTCGGAGTTGTTTACATGAAAATTTTGTTGGCCAGCGGGGTGTCAGATTTTCTACCAATGACAACGTTTTCTTTGTGGCGTCATGGCGAGATCGACAATTCATCGTCAATTCACAGGATTGTGCCGACAATGGAATTGAATAGCGGCCCGATCCACGCCGCCCGACCGAAGAAAATTGGAATGACGAGCACATTTATCGGGGATAAAATCCCCAATTTTGAAAACCGACCGCTAGCCGCTCGAAATTTTTGGTCGGCCCAAAAAAGGCTAGGGTCGGGGGGTTTTTCATAGGGTCGGTCGGGTAACCGGAAACACAACATTTTTTTTCCTAGGCCTAACACCTGCTTCTTAGAAGCCAGTGTTCTTTTACATACATCAAATGAGTAGGCGTTTATTAACACAGGACACAAGTGTTTACTCAATCAAATGGAGAAATCATCAAAGACTTTGCGATCAAACCCTGAACGCGGTATCCGCTGGAATCAGCTTAATCTAGTCGTGCAGCGGAAATACTCGTACGTGCGGGACCAAATTTAGAATCACAAACACATCAACGGGAAAACTAAATATGAGCATTTTGGTGCAGCCTTTTCTCTCAGACGAATAAGCAAGATAGTGACCTCGAGGTCTTTCTGGTGAAAGCTTTAGTAAATGTTACTTTCTGACACTAATATACATGTACATGGTAAGAATCCCTACATGTTATACTTCGCATTCAACAGTGTTAAAATACGTTGTACTTAGCAGGTTAGAAATCTAGGTACTCTTTGGCTGTGCCTGTCGCCCACGGTATTTTTCCCTTTCACTAGATGTGTTCGCTGGCGCGTTCATGGACAGATAAATACATCGATTCACAAAAAGGTCGTCTTCCTTAAATGTTCTCTTCCTTATGAAGCTGACGCCGTTTTTACGTCGCCATGTTCCCGTGACCTTTGTGACGGAGACAGGGTAGATCTTGGGGAAAAGTAATATAAATGCAGATAAAGCTCACAGCTCGCGTCATTGCTTGTCACTTCTTGTTTTCATCTCCATGGAGACTGAAGCACCTGGGATGTACAGGGTCGGTGTATGGAGAATTGAAAACCCGGTGGTTTCCCTGTCATTTTCCCATCCCCCAAGGATGTTTTTTCATAGTTACGTTGCTTAACAAGACTAGGGAAGTGGACTTAAACGCGCCACTTTGACGCACGCCTGGGGGATTTCACTCACTTAATGCATAGTAGGTGTGCTGATGAACTAGAGAGGTTAATGATAAAAAGTCAAACTTATATACTTGCTGTGTGTTGGTATACGTGCTCAGATAGTTGGCCTCACAGATATGAGTATACTATGGAAAAGAGTTGACTCAACTACATTAAAAAATTAGTACCACGTATGTTGTAGAATGTAGTAGACTCACATATCATTGTACCTTCCTTTTCATACATGTTGTTTGTATTTGAAATTAGCTCTCGGGCAATAGACGTTCAATATCAAGATTTATATTAAAAATGACCAGAAAATCGACTTTGAAAATGTAGGTTTTCCTGCCCTGCCCTTGTGTGCCTGTCAAGCTGGCGTCACAGACAACTAAAATTGCCCCCCGGAGAGTCAGTAAGCTCAAAAGGGACATTTTCCTCCGTACAGCCGGTGTCCTCTAGACCACTGCGCCGTATTTAGGAGTTGGCCAATGTTGGAATTCACAGGTCCATGGCACAGATCTATCCATCTATCTACATGGTCATTAAGGTTGCACAAATGTCTTAACACACAAGAGTGCGGTATGACGAATAGAAGAACTTTATTGCACGACAATTGTACAAGGTACATTGTATGGCAAATAGGTAACAATAAGTAGCATAATAAAATAGATAGGTATAGAATAAACTTAACAACTAATATATAGAAAAGAAATAATCAAAAGTTACCTTAGGCTTTACAATCAGGCGGAGTTATCTATGGGTACATGTGACAGCAAATCAGTATTCTTTCTAATATTAGCTATAGACTCTTCATTTTCATTTCTTTGCATTTTCTTCGTTTCCTCTGGAGCAGGAAAAGATTTGCTTGTTGTCTCTGCTTTGTACGATTTACCGTTTGGTCGAAAAGTTTTTATTGGAAACGGACAAAAATTCATGCGCGCGCGGATGTCATCCACATAATCACATCACCATGGCCTGATAGGCAGTGAAGTAAGAAATGAGAGATTACTTCACATTGGCACCCGCAGCTACAAGCTGAACTATCCACTCCCCACGACTGAAAACTTACTGATTGCGGACCGTCTGGACGCTCTGATTAACCAAGAAGCTTCTGTAGAATTCGAAAAGCTCGGCTCAGCACACGGGACTCTAGCCTGTCTTTCTTTCCAGTTGCAATCACAGGATTGCAGTCTGGCAGTCTCAAGACTTTAATTAAAAGGAGAAAAAGGTCTTCACAGTGTAGAGTTCAGTGTCCGTTAATTACCTTCGCCAAGAAGGTTATGTTTTCAGGGGCGTTCGTGTATGTGTGTGTTTGTGTGTGTGTGTGTCTGTCTGTAAACACGATAACTTGAGAAGGCCTTGATGGATTGTCTTGATACTTGGTAGGTGGGTAGGTCTTGATGAGACCTCAAAATGATTAGATTTTGGACCCCCTAGCGGCTTATTATGGTACTGCAGCTGAACTTTCGGTTTTGATATCTCATGATCTAGACATGCTATGGTATTGAAATTTAGATGGTAGGTAGCTCTTGTGCTGGGGAAGAAGTGACGTGAGTTTAGGCCCCCTAGCGGCTTGCTCTGGAACTGCAGGGATAAATTCTTGAAAATATTCAAAAGGGGATAACTCAAGAACCGGTTGACGGATCGTCGTGATTTTTGGTATGTAGGTAGCTTACGTGATGCTTAATATAATTATGTGACAATTATGCAAATATGGATGTAATTTGCATAATTTATGGGGAAATTCTATAAATCAGCTGCATTCCATGATAGGACAATTGAAGCTTGTGACATTGGTAATTGACAACGAGAGAAACACAGGAAGATATTGATTATGTTAAAAAGAACTTAATTTGCATAATAAATGAGAAAATTTAATAATTATGTAATGATAACTGCCTGGAATTTCATACTTGTGGTATTTGAAAGTTAAATTGAGGTGAACATCATTAAACATAATTTATTGAAATCAGGACCTCATTTGCATAATTTATTAGGAAATGCTAGAATGCATTCTTTGTTAATATAAGACTTTTTGTCTTTTGGTTGAGATTATGATAAAACAATATAATTCATGAAAATTAGGTTCCTATTTCTTAAATCAGGGGGGAATAATCTAATCTAAACTTTGTCAGTCATAAAGATTAACATCATTTGGCGAAGGTATGAGATCGCGGAACTCTAGTTCAATCTCAGTTCGTGAGATGTCGATTCCGTTGCAGACTTTTACTATCATTTTTTGTAAATTTGACAAGTAATTTGGATTGTATTATTTCATTAGTTATTTATTTCGTCAATTTTCCGTATTTCTTGTATATCTGAACTAAAAAAACAAAAACAAAAAAAAACATTAATAAAACTTCTTGGCTGGGCCATTTTGGGGTTTTCTGGTTGCCTATGAGTGATTGTTAGACAATGGGATTAGTCCAAATAAAGAAGCCTCCCTAAGAAGCCTGATAAAGAGGCTAAATTCTATGTTGTTTGAAGTGTTTCCAGGCCCGGCAGACATGTAGACCGGTAAGGATATCAAATCGTGCTCATGTACATGTACATAATTCACAGGCCGGCAAAAACAACCGGACACGTGGAAAAACACCATATTTGGCGATGTCCCCATATTCCAGGGGATGTTATATAAAGACTATTGAAGAGTGGTCACACGGAAACACACACGGCAGACGGGTTTAAGTCCCCGTGCGACCGTCTCTCGTGTCACTTGTTCACGCTCGTCCCCAAAGACTAGAATAAATTCCAAGAACAGTCACCACAACTCTTCAATCCAGGTGAGGAATTTTGATCTATACGATTATTCAAGTGTCAACGCAAGGGTGGGGTTTACTGATATGTATGCAACATTACTGGTATATATATTTTTTTAATTTCTCCTTCACCTTATTGTTGTGTGACGGAAGAAAAAACAAATTACTGATATCAAAACGAATATCACCTAGCGTCCTTCGCAATTTTAGATAATGATAATACTTTATTATAGACCACTTTAGTTCAAGTGAACCTTTCGGTTTTGATAGTGCGTACATGTGCGCGGTGTTCATCATTTTAGATTGACGCCCTACATGGCAAATGAAACTTTAATACAGAGATAACCTTCTCGGAGATGTATCTGATTAAGAAGCTTCTTCTGAATTAATTGCGACAATTAGAGATGTGGCGGCAGATAATACCCCGCTAAGCGCTGTGACAGTGAGTGGGACACGCCAAGGTTGTCGTGTCGTTTCGCGCTGTGACTTTTTCCGCTTTTCGGCGGCCCTGATTTGTCTGCTTTGTCACGCACGTCTGTGGAGTAGGCGCTGGCGATGCTCTGTACGTGTAAATTTATTGGTATCTTACGTTTTGGTCTCAGCTGAATGAAATGGCGGGTTCTGACAGTGACTGGAGCAGGGTGAACGTCAGTAACTCTACGGGTGCGAACGTGACGGTCCCCGAGCCGTACGTGGGCGCAGCCGCCATCCTGGAGAACCTGGCGGTCTCCGTCCCCACCATCCTCACCTACGCCGTCTGCTTCCTTCTCGGCACCGTCGGGAACGTGCTGGTGGTCTTCTCCGTGGCGCGTTTCCGGCGGCTCCGCTCCACCACCAACTACCTCCTGGGGAACCTGGCCACGGCGGACCTGCTGATCGTGGCGCTGTGCGTGCCCGTCAAGGCGGCCGAGTTCTTCCTGCCGGCCTGGGAGCTGGGCGGCTTCCTGTGTAAGGCCACGGCACTCCTGCAGTTTCTGTCCGTCATCTGTTCCGTCCTCACGCTCACATGCATCTCCATTGAAAGGTAAGACAATCTCATTTTCCACTGGCTAAACAAGTATCTGTATCTGTGTCTTTTTTGAGACTATATAAGGGCAGTAGGCTGTTATCCACTGTGTCCATGACACGGTATTGGAAGGTGGAGCCCAACCCTTTCCTTCCACCGACTTTTACCTCCCCAACCGAAGCCAGGTACCCATTTTACACCTGGGTGGAGGGCCTTTCCCAAGGGCACAAGATCGGTGACATGACAGGGTTCGCACCGAGGACCTCATGGATTCTGGGCCAAACACCAGACCATTACGCCACACACATTACCAAATATATACATGTATGTAAATACAAAGACAAAAGCTTAAGTGTACTAACGTCTCCCACTTAATGTACTGATTGTAGAATTGCCTCAATAGTCTTAAGTGTAGTTATGAAAGGCAACTTGTCCAAGATAGCGTGCTTCATAAACTTTTTGATAACGCCCTTTATGGCTTCATAAGCCTATTGGAGAGCACCCAAAGTCATTTCCTTCTCAGGGGCGGTTGGCCAGCATCCTAAAACGCTTTACCAAATCCCTGCGCCACCTGGTCATTGGTAAACACTTTAAAAAGATAACCAATGCAATTTCAGGGCAGCAAAAGAAAAATATTCTCGATGAAGATATCTGTCTGATATTGACATTTACTGCCATTTCTTAACACATTTTCGGCATCATTTCATACTTTAAGAGTTTGAAATAGCCCAAAACCAAGATATGCAAGGCGTCTCTTTATTTCATTTTTTGGTACCGCCCATAAATAGCGAGAACCAGCCTACATGTACTAACGAATACGATACAAAAAGCAACCATTGTCTGTATTGTTATCTCACAGATATCCGTATGCTCTGCGATAGGATTCATTTAACTTACTACATCAAACATGGCCAGAAAATTGACTGTCGTACCAAAACAATACCTCCATTTTACATGGAGGTAACAAGCATGGTCTCAAAATCATTCCCAATCAGAGGATGACTTAATTCTGGATTGGAACTCTCTAACGTGGAAAATAGAAGAACATTAAAAAAACGAAGATACGTGCTTTTGACAGCTCAAATCTCCGTCGCCTTTTCCTGTTATTGGCACATAAGCGCCCGGAGCCCGGGATAGCAGCATTCAATCTTTACATGACTGTAAAAATGATACGTTTCAAATAACCTGTCTATAGCTCCACCAGGCTCGTATAGCACCCGGTATTCAACTTCTTTATACACGGCAGCTATCAATTATCTGCCAGCGCTACCGAAGTTCTTTTGTTGCCCTCCTGAGGGCAGGTTTCACCCCCCACTACTAATTGGAATCGCCCCGAGCAAGGTAGCAAAAGGACTACCGAAACGCCGGCGGATAATTGTTAATGATTGTGTAGAAAGTACCTTAATACCCAATTTCAGATAACCATTTTCACATGTGTGTTAACGCCGTACCCTGTATCTAATGTAGGCTTAGAAGGAAAGCGGGAACAGTGAAAACTCATCATTCTGGAGACTGCGTGTGCGAGACCAAAATGTTAAAAACCTTGCGCCTTTTGCTTTCCTGATTTGCACTCCTTGTTTTAAGTTACGATATGCTCGGATATGGCAGCGACTGTGTCAAATGGCAACGACCGTTTCAGCCCCTGTCACACTCTCACGACCTTTTCCCAACTGACGACCAGATATAGCCACGCCTAACTTTCTTTACGAATCAGAGTTAAATTTGAGTCAAATGTAACCCTTAAAAACGCCCCGAACACTGCTGACTTACTCCCTAACGGTTGGCTGGTGTTCTGCTATACTACAAGCGAAAACAAACGAACCATGGTCGAACCTCCCGACCGACCCCCGAATGTTTCAAACATTTTGCAGCCGAATCGTAGACGAATTCAGTATTCCTGTCACAGGCGTCAACAGTTATCCTTTTAAATCGCACAGGTAAGGCGGCAAATATTACCCGACAATCTCCGGGAGAATCAGGTAATCCAGCCGTGATGTGACTAGATAACGGCGTTCTGAAGACGGGATGAGCGCGCAGATGGGATCTTCGCTAAGGCGCGGCGACTTGAACTGCATGCATCAACCTTACAACGATCCTTAGGGTCAACATGTACCGACGGTTTGTCGGTGGAAATGTCAGGCGTTACGGCGTGATTCTGTCCCAAACGTGCTCGCTTGACCCTTGATGCTGTAGGGCAGACTACACTGCACAAAATCAATTTTTACGGACACCTTAAATCATGTGTAAACACTCCGTTTCTTTGTGTGTACTTTTTCGCATGTTTTAACGTGTGCTTAAAGGTTGGATTTCGTGCACTGTTGGTGAATATATGGTACTAAGCTTCCGATTTTGATAAAATTTTGTGATCCGGACATGCTAGGATCACGGATTGTGGTTGTCATTAATGCTATAATTCCATAGTGGTAATTGCCGGGAAGTTCATATGCGGCATTTGGAAGTTTGTGGTGTAGGGTTAGCCAAGAAGCCAAGAAGGTATGGATGGATTGTCCCGAAACTTGGTAGGTGGGTAGGTCTTGATGAAACCTCAAAATAGTTGCTGTACATTATGGGCCACCTGGAAGCTTGGAATGGCACTGCAGCAGAACTTTCGGTTTAATATCGGCATGATTTGAACATGCTAGGGTCACGAATTTTGCATGGTAGATCGCTCTTGTGCTCGAGAATAAGTGACAAACGTTGACTGACGCGTGCGTGTATAGAACAGTTTTGGGGACGAGACATTAGCGCAAGTCTTTCTGTGCAAAATCAGGCAAACATACTTGAAAGGATGGCTGATATTAGCCAGTCACGAACAGCGACTTCTAAGGACGCCGGCCTTAAGACCACAGCAAGTCAATTTTACGGATGACATCCTCCATATTTAATACGATTGAGTGCAGAAAACAAGGCGGTAAAAAAAACAAGATCCCCTTTTTTGGTGAGTTTTGTTTTTGGTGTCTTTATTCCAAAAAGCAAACGAAACGCTTGAAAGTAATTAATCAACTAAGGAGAAATACGTAAGCACACCAGCCTAGCGAGGTTAGCGCATTTGCAAAAGGTCTATTTTATTAGCGAGGAATGGTAATTATATAAGCGGGGACTGATATTAGCCTTAAGTCGTTATTCTGTTATCACAAATACACCAGAGACAGGCCTCTCATATGGTGTAGCCTCTATCAGGCTTTAGAAGCGGCTGGAAAGAGTAGAAATTTCTAGTCTGGATGCCAGACCCATGGCACTCAAGGCGCAGAGTTAGCCATCAAAGGTGTCTAACTGTAGGGAGCTATGGTATAATTTCCTTGGGGAGATGTGAGCCCTGGAGCCGAGGAACGGGCTTGTGTAGTCCCTAGAATCAGTCTGGCACCCAGGCTAAGAAATTGGTCAAATTATACAAATAGACAGATACCATGCCAGGGAAGTTAGTCCACTAAAAGAATACGTACATTTCCCGGTGCAAATTTAGCGGACCATCTCAGCTGGTGTTATTTGTGGCCAATTTAAACTCTTTCCAGTCGCTGCCGAAGCCTGGTAGAGGCTATGGGAAACCTGGCACCTGTAAGGGATTCTTATAGTCTTACGTTGTCTTCTGGGAGTTGTTCATGTGTACGTGATGAGACATACAGTTCGGTCATCTTTAAGGACTTCAAGGCCTCTTTAAGACCAAGACCCCAACCTTTGTCTTGACGAATGAGTCTGAATATGATTTCTTGATTTACCTTTGACTTCGCCTTGATTTGAATTGACCTATGTCTGCTAGTAGAGAGGTCAAGGCTTCGATTCCCTGCATTCCTGTTTTGGGCCGGGAAAGGCATCGAATTTAACCCTCCACCCCATAAAAAAACACGCCCTAAACACCCACTGACCCACTGACAACACCAGCCGATGGTCTAACACGCGAATCTTTGAAACATTTTGAAACATTCTCCTGGCACAGCCAAAGAGTGGACAACCACAGCCGACCTTGCTTCCGACCTACTCCTGTTCGGACGCTTCGGCCATGTGTGACAGAAACTTTACGCCGCAATGCACGAAATCCGTAAAACATGCGTAAATGTAGGAGCAAGTGAAGAAACGGAACCTTTACGCGTGCTTTAAGGTGTTATAGATCTTGTGCAGTGCTGAAGGGCGGCTCTACAGATACAGATATGACTCATGTTGACTGATCAATCGTCTCCTCACGTACCACACGTAGCGCAGGTCTCTCTCACAGGTCTTGTCATTAGACCTTCATCTGGAGCTGATTCCATAACTACAGCTGTGCCTCTCTTGAGACCGAACCTACGTCATTCGCGCGCGGCGCCTCTGCGCTGTTATCGGCGTTCGACAAAGGGCAGAAGTACGCCTGGCATATGGAAGTTAATCAGCCTCATTTGCTGTGACTTTCGTGCATCGAGTGAATTACTTAGTGAAGTACCATGTGCAAATTGAGATTAATGTCGTTTTACTTTCTTTGTAAACAATATTTGATTAAAGTAATGTAATACAAACGGAGTAAAACTGGAGTAAAACTTATAGATATCTGAATATGCCGCATAAGCTTAACACAACGCAGTTTGAGTTTCTAAAAAGCACCCAGCGCGATTTCAGCGCAGTAGAACTGGATTTTCAAATTCAACTTCCTTGTCATTTTTAACGTATATAGTAGGTTATACCACCCCAATACTAAACTGATATCTATGAGATGAATAAAAATATGATGTGGCTGACGGAAAACAGTTTTGTATATTAGGCTGGTTCTATTTATTCATGGGTGATATAAAAAAAAACAAATTTAAAGGCACATCTGGTGCTGCATCCAGAACCACAGCTGCTACATCCCCATGTTAACCTTTGCACGTTCCGTTGTAGCTTATTTCCGTTAAGTTCCGTCTGGTAATGTAAACGGTCGTTGCCCTTTTAAATCGGTCGATGCCATAGCGAAGACTGGTGCCCTTAAAGTGTATCAGGGCACAGTAACTTTTATGTCGTGGAGACTAGCTAGGCTTTTAGGTTTAAGCTTCTTTGCTCTTCCCGTTGCAGGTACTTTGCCATCATCCACCCGATGCAGATCCGGAGCGTGTTCACGGTGGGGCGTGCGCGCCTGCTCATCGCCGCGATCTGGGTCGTGTCCTTCCTGCTGGCCAGCCCCGCTCTCGTCTCTCAGGTCAGTACTAACCTTAGCCTCCAACAGGCTTCAGCAGAGGCTGGAAACAATAGACATTGACCAGTCCCGCTCTCGTCTCTCAGGTCAGTACTAACCTTAGCCTCCAACAGGCTTCGGAAGCAGCTAGTCCTTCCTGCTGGCCAGCCCCGCTCTCGTCTCTCAGGTCAGTACTAACCTTAGCCTCCAACAGGCTTCGGAAGCAGCTAGTCCTTCCTGCTGGCCAGCCCCGCTCTCGTCTCTCAGGTCAGTACTAACCTTAGCCTCCAACAGGCTTCGGAAGCGGCTGGAATTTCTGGAAAGAGTAGACATTGGCCAAATAGACAGACTTTACACGACTTTCCTCATTGCACACAGGTGGAAGTGAGTACCTAGCTTTGGTCAGGGACGTCCCTCAGATAGGCCTAGGACAGTAAATAGAGGTCTCGTGTTTGGGGACAGGTATATCCTACACACGCGTTGAAGAATCCACCATAGTTATCGAGAAGAGTAGGGTACCTTCCCGGTGTGAATGGTTAAAACCATACAGACGCACCAGGGCTGGCGGCCACTCCAGACCCTTGCGATTCAGCCCCACCAATTGTAAGCTCCTCATCACAATTCAGCCCCTGGCTGCGAAGAAAATCATTGCAGCCCCACTTTGTCCCTGTCCTTGTATTGTTTCTTTAATTTAAAAAAAATCTGTCCCTTCCAGACGCTGGTGGAGTATGACTGGGGAACGGGAGAGCTGGTGTACCACTGTCAGCAGGTCTGGCCCACCGACACACACCGCCAGCTCTACTCCATCTACGGCCTGCTCCTGCTCTTCGTGCTGCCCATGGCGACCATGGCGCTGTCCTACGGCAGGATCATCAGGGAGATCCTCAAGAGGCGCAGGAAGGTGAAGACCTTGTCACTTTACTTTACTGTATACGCCCGCTTCTAAATCTATGGGGGCGTCGTGGGGAGGTGGAGCAGGCGTTTCGGGGCCAGTCAAGTCGCCATGGGCGCTCAGTGTCTCCGTCGGGCCGTCTATCCAGCGGCGGAGGGGTCTCCCTCTGGCCCTCAGGCCTGACCCTCGGATGTTGAAGGATAAAGTGATGTTAAGGTGGCATATTGTTGTTGACATAAGGGTTCACTGGTGTAAGTTTGGGTCCCCTAGTTATATAATAGTTTTGGTAAGTGACCTTGCCAAGGTGACTAAGCTACCACGTAACACCTTGTACTTGGCACCACCCTTACAGGTACTCAGACAGAGGGTGGCGGGGACGGCGGATGAGGCAGAAGAGAAGCACAGCGGGTCGTTCGTGCGGCAGGAGACGCTGGAGGATTTCCTGGCATTGCCGCACATCCGCGCCGAGCTCTCAGCAGCAACCACATGCGACGAGACGGCAGACAAACCGGTGCAGAAGTTACGGATAGGAGAGGTTAACAAGGGGTACGAACTCAGCCCCAGAAATTCTAACAACCCACTAGGCGCAGCTTCAAACGAGGAAAATCGTGTTGGAGAGAGAAACGATTCCGGAGAAGAGGAGACACCAACGTCTACTGATGAGGATCAGATGCCCGCACGGAAGTCATCCAAAGACCTGGTGAGGAAACACAAGTCCCTTCCCGTGGTGCTGACATCTTCCGGGAATTCCCGCACGCCCGACCGGCTCGAACAGCGCCGCAACACCGAAGCAGACACGCTGGACCACCCGCTCCTCCTGCCGCAGCACTCCAAGGAAGAAGTCCGGGAGAGGTGCTTCTTGGAGCGGCTGTGGAGCTTCCGGAGGTCCGTGTCGTGCCGGGGAAGGCCCAGGACGTCCTCAGAGGAGACAGACAAGGCGCTGGCCGGAAGGAGGAGGGTGAAGCGGGTTGGAGTGAAACGGGACTCCAGCCTGGCCGGAAACTTCTACAAGTCCACACACGTGCTGGCAGACGAGGAAGGCGTTAAAGTAAGCCTTCACATTGTTTTGTTGTATCTTTTTTATTGAAGTTATGATGGGAAAAAAACTTCACACCCTTATACATTCGTGTTTATGTCTTTGGTCTATGTTTAAGGCGGTGCAATGGCCATGTCAAGTGGGTAGAGTTTACGCCTTGCATTCAGTAGTTCATGAGTTTGATCCCCAAATTTTGTACATACTACTTAGTACTGAGCATATTTGGAAAAGTGTAAGAGAGTCAAACACACGTACACACCACGTAATGGTGGCACATGCCAGTGGGCCAGCCCTCTTCTTTAGTGATTGCACAACTGTGTGGCCCAAAGGCTACAGAAACGGAGACGTACGTCGCCCCATGTACCATATATAGGTGCGGGAAGGAACTTTTGACTTTTTGAGTTGGTTAAGTCTACACGTTTTTTTTCTCTCCTGCACAGATCTTGCGGATGCTGCTGGTGGTGGTGTTTGTGTTCGCCCTGTGCTGGGGTCCCCGCCTCATCCTGCTGACCCTGACCAAGTTTAACCTGGTGAACGTTCACACCGAGCTGGTATACGCCCTGGACATCACCTTCCACCTGCTGACGTACCTCAACAGCTGCGTCAACCCCGTCTGCTACGCCTTCATGTCACGACACTTCAGACAGAGCTTCAAAGACGTGAGTCTTGTCTCAAGATCTTCCCATTCTTTATGTTTACCTTCAAAGAAGGAAAACGTATTGTTTGTATTAGCACTGACCATAAATGTCAGAATGTGAAATGATTGCACAAATATGCTAGGAATTACAATACACGAAGATTTTCAATTAGAAAATATTTCAATTTTTGGTGCAAAATTTGTTACTTAATGCCCCTTTGACTGTACATTACGGCCATTCTTTGCTTACGATGCTGATAGATTGTACGCTTGGGCCCTAACTAAATATGGTAACACAAGTCAGATGTCTGATACTGAATGAAATGATATGAATAAAAAATCAAAGTACGTACACAGCCGGTACAGTGTCGATTTGAGGGAAATATGAGAAGAAACTACAGCTAACCCACAGGATTTCATTTTTTCCCATCTCAGACAATGTCTTCGGGCTGTAAGAAGAAAGCCCTCGGTCGCCAAGGAACTCCGGACATCCTCCTGACCAGCTACTCCTCCAGACGCCGCCAGCTGGACATCACGGCCACGGTGTGTGGACTGACCGACGCCGGGACCACGCTGACCGGCCGGCCGAGCACAAGCACGGGGCCGTCCACGCGTATCTCTGTCACCAGCTACGGCCGCACCAGCACGGCTACAGCACCGAACAACATGTGCATCACTACAGAGGTTTAGACAACAAAAGGACAGTTGCGCAAAGCTGGATTGCATGGAAACAGGTAGTGTTGACATGGGTGAAGTGTTGAAATTTTGGGGAAAAGTAGAAGCTTTCAGAAAGGAGTGGCTATGTTTGCCTGTGTGTGTGTGGTATTCAGCACCAAGGACAGGAATGTCTGTGTTCAGCACCAAGGACAGGCATGTTTGTTCATGTATGGGTGGTGTTCAGCACCAAGGAAGGCATGTTTCTCTATGTAGGGTTGTGTTCAGCACCAAGGACAGGCACGTTTGTGTATGGACTGTGTTCAGCACCAAGGACAGGCATGTTTCTCTATGTAGGGTTGTGTTCAGCACCAAGGACAGGCACGTTTGTGTATGGACTGTGTTCAGCACAAAGGACAGGCATGTTTGTCCATGTACACATGTACAGGTTGTGTTCAGCACCAAGGACAGGCACGTTTGTGTATGGACTGTGTTCAGCACCAAGGACAGGCATGTTTGTCCATGTACAGGTTGTGTTCAGCACCAAGGACAGGTATGTTAGCCTGTGTGTGGATGGTTTTCAGCACCAAGGACAGGTGTGTTTATGTATGGGTGGCATACAGCACCAAGGACAGGCATATTTTGTCTGCATGTATGGGTTGTGTTCAGCACCAAGGACAGGACTGTTTGTCTATATTTGGGTTGTGTTCAGCACCAAGTACACCAATGTTTGTCTATGTCTGGATTGTGTTAAGCACCAAGGACAGGCATGTTTGTCTATGTATGGGTTGTGTTCAACACCAAGGACAGGTATGCTAATGTAATCAGCAAACTTGGAACTGATTGCAACTGTACAACAAATGCACTACTTAACTGTAAATGTGTTATATACATACCTATATAATAGTGTCTCTGAATAATATATTGTTGTTACTGTTGAATGGCAGTGTTAAGTCTGTAACATATCATTAAATGTCATGACAAGGGAAACATTTGACAAAGTTGCTGATCAAAGTTTCCAACATCAAGATAAGCTAGGAGATATTCACTGGTGTCTTTTGATGTAATCCTACATCTTTGTACTTGTAAGCCTGCATCACCAAATTAGTAAGGATCTTATTTTTCCGAGTAATGGATCATAGTATTCCGTAAAATTTGTATGTTTCTGGTAATGTATGTATGTATTTTGTAAAATTCATATAATTCTTTGGCACCCTGCCCATGTATTGAGTCAGAAGTTACTTTGAGCCATATATGAATACACAAAAAGAGAAATCATAATTGTTTAACCAGTGTAAGACTCAAGTTTGAGAGAGGATTTTGCATTCATGTGCACTATCGACTTTTCAAAGTGGCCTTGTATAAAAACACATTCTTACTGGCAAAGATAGGGCACCTAGCAATCCCACAATCTACCCAACCAGTTTTCCTAAAAAAAAATACAGTTAGCAGTAAGATATGTATACAAAATGTACGTTGATATTTGTCAAAATGTATTGATTGGTGAATTCGTATGTCTGGAATAGTTTGCATGCATTAAATTCCATTTCGTGCATCAAAATTGTCTTGGGCATTTGTGAGATATATTTTCTTGTGAAATAAAACACCTAAGCCACACAGTAGCCTCTTGAATATTTATTATTCTTCATCTCTCTCCTGGATTGAATCATTACATTTACATTATATACACTCTAGTGCACATAGTAGGACGCAGTGGAAGCCTATCATTGCTTGTACCATGTGCATTTTGTAATTTATATTCATTAAATTTGCAAGTGTAAAAGCTAGGTAAGATGCTATGCAGTCTTCAAGAATTACCCTCTGCAATTATATAAATCTAATAGTTTGCTTTCCTTCCTGTTATCTATCTAAGCCATATCTAGCAGCCCTGGAGTTGGCACTTGTATGTAAAAGACATAACATCCGGTCAAGTTACCCTTACATTCAGTACACCATGCATTCAAGGTGGGGGGATAGGCCTCTTTTCCCTTTCCACGAGAAATAGTTCAAAAGAAATTCTTCCCAAACTCTGTGTGTTATTGTTACCAGGTCACCATCACAAATGAAAAATACATAAATCATAACAGAGTATGAGCCAGACACCAAGCTTCAAAATCAAGAACGTCGTTGAACACCATGCACAAATTGAAGTTTATGACGTGAGATCACTGCATGAGGTTAGTCAAAGCAGGTGCTACTTTTAGGCATTTCAAAAGCAAGCCCTTGAAAGATACAAGAATCCTTTGAATACTGGCAAAACTTGGAAATTCAGGGTGTTTGGGAAATTGGGAGATCCAGAGAAAACCTGCTTGATTGTGCACATCGGAACCTGGGGGTATACGAAGAAATTGCCACGGCCGTGAAGGAACACAACTTCAATAGCACAGCATCTCAGTGCTGATCGAAGGCGAAGGCTCTGAGGGTAAAGTACAAGGATGTACAAGATCACAACAGCCTCAGTGGGACATATCGATGTGTTCCTCCACGATTATCACAGTTCTAGGGCTACAGTGCAGCCCCCCTACCCCATGAAAATGGGCAATCTTGAGACAGGGATGACAACACTTCTCTTGATCATAGTGACTTCACCTCGGGAGCAAGTTCGTACCATGGACACAAAATGGAGTCGTGTGGAGAACTCCAATGGCCAACATTAAATCTTTTTGATTTACCAAAAAGATGAAAAAGTTCGGATTATAGAATGTTTCCAAAGGAAACAGAACCATGATCCCACACACTGATTGTTAATAAGATGATAGAACTGGACTGAATTGTAAGTAGATCTATTCTGTAATGCAGAGGATTTCATCCTTTATTGTTGTGGACATTGCTATGTATACCCTGGAGCTGTGACATGTTGGTGCCATTATGAGGCAGTGACTTTGATTTCCTCCATGACATTGGACAGTAGTGAGGCGTCTGAACTCTTCCCATCGATGGAGATGTCACCTCCACCCTGGGACAAACAGAGACAAAGATTAATTATACATGTTCATTCATTAAATCTCAAGATGGCTGGGTACACATTGTAGCATTAACCTGGGTAGCTACATTCACTATAGGCTGTTTTCCGAGGGGGGGGGGCAATGTATTACAAGACATGGAAATGTTACATTCAATCAAACAAAGGAGAACAACATACACGTACAGTACCCTGGGACAAACAGAGAAAAAAATGGATCCTTGTCAGATAGTATAGCAAGAAAACATCAGTCAAATCATTGGCCTGCCTGCATACACGTAAGTGTCTAGGCCAGGAGCTGTTCAGAACTCTGTTATCATTTACTTAAAGGCATGCAACGCAACTTGGAGTTGCATGGCGTAACAGTGAGGTGTTTGACTCAGAACCAAGTGGTCTCGGGTTCGAATCCTGCCATATCACAGACCTTAGTGTCCTTGGGAAAAGTTTCTTCACTTCACTCTGGGGGAAATGAATACCCAGCTTGGGACAGGGACGTCCCTACTTACATTTGCCTTGACGAGCAGACAGATGTGATGACCTTGTGTAGAGCAGCTGTACAGGGATGCACTCTGGTCAATCTGTTCTACAACTACAGGGGAAATCACAACAAGAATTAATACTTCTATGAACTTTCCTAATGCATTGCTATGGTTACATCTTTGTTTTTAGAAGACCTACATACATATAGTACAGCTAAAGACAAGGCAAATCAAGGCATGGCAGTCAGTTTGTATAGGTCATCAGTTTTGATTTCATATAACTTGCAGAAACACACACACACAATGTGTCACGCACAAACACACACATGTACACACACAGGCACACAAACACAGGCAGACTAAGCCAAAAATTCACACATACATTGTACAATGGTATGAAGAACGGAATGAATAATGCACTAGTTCTCCTTAAAGACAACAAAGAGTCTTTAACAAGTATATGTACAAATCTACCTGTGGTTGAGAACTTACTTGCAAAGTGTCCGTAGAAGCAGACCTTAGCCAGGAGGTGTGAGAAGGGAGCTCCACTGTTGGACAGTTTTATGGAGTATTTGGAGCTGAGGTCTCCACCTTGCAGCAGTCGGGCAAAGGCATCACTGTAAAAAATAAATATAAGGGGACGGGTAAGCTGTGCATAAACTTATAGAATTAAGAGTCAAGAGAGCCAGGGCCAATTTGGTAGGAAAAAAATTGGACAGTTCTTCGTGGCAAATGTGCAGATCTTCAGTGTTTGGACACAGAATCAATGATCAGCCAGTCTGATTGTGTTGATTAAAAGTACATGTACTCACTTTATTTAGGAAAAAATACATGTGTTATTGTACATTTGACAATTCTACCTCTAGTGAATAACAATTTCTGTTAATGTTTTTCTGTCATAATCTAAGGCCACCAACCAGAGAAAATCATGTTTATGTAGAAGACACAAAGTTCACAAGAATGGACCCTAAAAAAGTGGTTTGGTAATGAAAACTGCCCCATTTTTAGCCTCTCAACAAAAGGTTGAGACAAACCTTGAGCAGGGCGTGGCAACCAGGAATGCAGTACACGGCAGGTAGAGCTTAAAATCCAGCTTCTCACTGGTGGAACTTTCCTCCGTCTGACAACAGAAACAAATAAACAAACAGGACATTCATATGTATACATCTAAACAAGGAAAAGTATCTAGTATGTGCTTTGGCTATACACAGTAAGAGCAATGTCACAGAAGCTAGTAACTTCTTCTTTCTTCAAGTCAGAAAAAGTACATGTATCAAGTCACAATCGAATATGCCTAGTATACAGGGTTCTAGCCAGCCTGAAAATTCTACAATACTACTACAGCCAATAGAGAATTCGTAAGACAAACGCTACTTTAGTGTGCTGAAGGTTATTACATGTATATACCTTGATGGTGTACGTCAACGTTCCCCGTAGCTTCTGGGGGACGTTAATACTTTGGACTTGGAACGCAAACTGGCCTTCGTTGAAAGAATCTGGAATAGAAAGAATACAATATATTCAAAAAAGGTACAATTTTAAGGAAAAGTGACGAAACTGGAAAGTTTCAAACTGACAGAGAGCTAGTTAGTATTGAACTAAACTTAAGGACTGTCCAAAAGTTTCTGCAGCTCACATAATACTCACTAGGTGGCAGTTGGAATGGTACAGGAACCCCATCATGGGATGTAGCACCAGGCTAAAATGGGAAAAAATAAAAAATATATCAGCACAACAGACATTTTATAAAATCTATTACCTTTACATATACCTTACATGTACGTCTCACTTAATATGATTGTATCTTAATTCATCCAAAATCAAAAAAAAAAAAGGGAAAAAGAATCCCTATCTACAGACACTATTTTTTTCAGGACTGAAGCCGGAAACAAATTTTTCCCTAGGACTTACCAGTCTGTCCATCTTGGTGTTGAGAGAGTCCATGACGTTGAACTCCAGTGACTTGAGATGGTGCTGAGCCTGGCTGGTGAAGATGACAGACACGATGAGCTGCTGACCCTGCTGGGGCTGGACACGGGTCTCGTACGTCATCTTTATGTGGGAGTCCTCCGCGAGAAGTCTGTAACTCGTCATGGGCTGGGGGAGGAAACAAGGAAGGTTTAGTTTATTCCTACCTCCATTAAAAATTAAAAATAATAAATAACATAAGAAGGTAATATATAGGAAGTTACTTACAGGAAGTGGAGCTGCATCACTACTAGTGAGTTCTTCAAAACCATCTCTTCCACCCTCTTCTTCCTCATCTGCTACCTTTGATTTCTTTTTCTTCTCCTTTTTCTCCTTCTTCTCTTTCTTTTCCTTCTTTTCTTTCTTGGCCTTCTTCTTCTTGTGCCTACTGGTGTCCTGTTGGAAAATTGAACACAAATGTAATTATATGAAAAACTATTGCCATCATTTATCCCTGCTGCCTAACTCTGTAACCTTAAGAAAATTGGTACATTGTAGACAAACGACTACTCAACTGAGCTAATAGTCATGGGGGAACACTTCAAATGGCTTGAACTTATCACACCCTTACCTCAGCATCTGAATCCACATCTGCAGCAGCTGCTGGTTCAGGTGCTGTCACCTCAACTGCCACCTGGAGGACCAAAAAAATTGCAGTGATGCATGTTTGTATCAAACCATAAATTTACTAGTTTCTGTTCTTTCATTGTGTGTGTTATTCCCTTTACATTTGTATCTAATTCTGTACAGGACATGCCTGTAAAGCAGCATGCTTAGTATATTGAATGCATTTACCCTGTGGAAAGAAAACCAAAATAAATACATGTAAAAAAAATACAGTTTTACAAACTACCAGACATATAAGATTTATAGTACAAAACTATGCAGTGAACTATAGAGGAGCTTGATGCTTACCGGAGCATCTTGGCCAGAAAGCCAGAAGTCCAAGTCATCCTACAGTGAAGCAAGAAAATTCTAGTTAGCACTACAGGTCTATCGAGTTTTCTTGAGTATAATATACAAATAACTACATATACAAAAGAAGTCATTTGCAAGCTGAGAAATACATCTATTTTGCGAGGAATAAGGTTGCCATGTCTTCCCAAATTCATCTTGAGTACAATAAAATGAGAAACAAGACCAATTTCTACAGAAAGTAATAAAAGTATCTGAAAAGAGTATTTAAAAATTTGGAGTCTTGGCCCTCTGAAACACTATTGCATGCATTTCATGGGGCAAATTTTGCTGGCAGACTTAGTTTAATAACATCTTTTTTTATTTCTTTACACACCAATTTTTGTCCGTCAAAAATGCCAAATTAGTTATAATTATTGTAAATCATGAGCAGAAAAACTCAGTCAAAAGCCGGAAAGATAGACACAGGCTAGCACACTTGATAAAACTGATTTCTATCGTGGATAGGCTTAATTCATACCTTAGGTTCTTCCTTTTTAGGTGTTGAGTCTTTCTTGACAGGTACAGAAGGTGTTGCTGCTTCTTCCTCCTCACCTGGTGAGGGGATGGCCTCGTGACCCGGGGACATCAACTCTGTAGCTATCAACAAGCTGGGGTGGGCAGAGTCATCACCGGACTTGTTCCTCTTCTTTTCCTTTTTACTTTTCTGGAAAATAAATCAGGTGGTCATTTCTATTTCATGTAGATCACAGCCTGAAACTTTAAAGGTGCATTTTGTTACATTTTGTGCCAAAAATGCTGAGAAACTCAGATCCATTGGAAGAAACCACACCTTCTTTTCCTTTTTCTCTTTCTTCTTGTCTTTCTCCTTGTCTTTCCTGTGGTGTTTTTTTCTTCTCCTCCACAGGTCTGTCCTCAGCAGATGGCGACACGATCCGGTGTGTTCTGACTGGGAGTTTCTCATCATCCTCCAGTGGTCTGGGGAAAAAACATCAGAAATTTTCCTCATGTTTTGCAAATTTCTTTTCCAGAAGACTTCAGTAACTTTCTTAGTCACTGTTGGAGAATATAATTTGACCCTAATATTTCAGGACTGAAGCAGGAAACACAACATTTTTCCCCAGGCCTTACCTGTCCAAGTCGATGTCCAGCAGCTTGTGAGGATCATTGTCATCCAACTCCTGGTCTCCTTCATCTCCTGACTCTGTTGCACCCTGGGATAGGGGAAACATCAGACAGGACATGAAACATGTTGCCATTAAGGAAAAATGAAAGTGATGTTGATCCAGTTTTAGCTCACTGAAGAGCTCAAGTTGCTTGGGATAAATATTGTAACAGTAAAAGATAGGAAGAAAGAACATTATGGGATTCGAACCCTGAACCTTTAGATCTCCTCTCACCTCTGGCATCTCTCCGCCCATGATGTCCACCTTGTGGACCACTGGGACGTCCTCCTCAGACTCTGACTTGTGGCGGCGTTTGCTCTTCTTCCCGTGACGTCTCTTCTTCTCCCGCTTTCTCGCCTGGCGCTCTGCCTCCAGGTACTTGTCTGACAATCTCTTTGTGCCTGACAGAGAAGTGAAGACACTGTCACAACATTGTAACATACAAGTGTGTGTATGACTGGTTCAAAATTTTAAAAGCCCTGTCACTGGAGGCATGAAATACCTACATGAAAATACTTGCCTACGTGCCTACCAGAATAGAGAAGTTCTAACATGTCACAGCAAGATCAGATACAATAGACCTTTTCAGAGTTATTGGTCATATTAACGTTCTACATTTCTTTCAAGTTTCCTTGTTATTACTGGGCAAGAGCACCACTTTCGTGGCAACAATAGGATGTGAGAGTAAGGTTCTCAAATACTTACTTTCAGTTTCAAGGAAATTTTCTGTGGCTGGAAATATGATTGGAAAATGGGGGGAAGAAGATGATAAAACTGTTGAAGACGGCAAAAGTTGACAGCATTCAAAGTCTTAGTCAAGGAAATCGGATGGCTATGAATGTTCTAATGAACCTACAACACAACCACTAGTCTAACCGTGAAAAGGTCTATTGGACAGAACACAGGAAAGATAAAACAAACTACAAAATTTTACTCTTACAAATAACAAATCACAGAAATCGAGTTAAGCACATACTTCTAAGAACTCTGTTACTGACAACAGCTAGTTGAAGTACCAGTTACCGTGGTAACAGATGTCTGGTCCAGGTCATTGACCTTATGTGTAAAAGAAGATAAAACAAACCAAAAACAATATGCTGTTGTTTTTTTCTGCAAAGCTAAACATAAAAAGTCTTCCCCACTCACCCGGCACATACAGAGGGACACTGAGGTCGATGTTAGCCACAGGAATGTCTTCTACGTTCACCACCTCCTGGTACTTGGAGCCCTATGTTGGACAGAAACACTATGTGAGACGTCAACAAGTCTTTATAGACCATTTCTGGTCCCTATAATAACTTACTTCCGATACATTGTTCGAAGTACAAACTTATCTAACTAGCAATTGTTCACAATTTTTAAATCTTAGATTTGACAACTATAACAGGCAGTGCCTGAGAATGAAAGAGAGAATCTGATTTGCTTACCTTGGCTGGTCCTCCTAACTTGAGATAGTGTGGATTGTTCTGGGTTTCTGCTCGACGGGCCTCCCTTCTCTGCAGAAACAAACAAACAAATAAACAAACAAACACAGTTACATACCCTATCAGCTAATTGTCAAGACAATTGACTCACCAGAAAGACCATATGTTTGTCCCCACGTTTTTTCTTACGAAGCTCATATATATCAACCCTACACACATTATTTTCATTCAACCACTTTACACGTTAAGACCTTCAGACTTCTGTTCACTTTCTTAGAGAAAAATGTCAACAACTCACCCTCTCCAGTTCATCATCAGACAGTTCCTCTACTTGTCTGGTCAGACTTTCATTCATCATCCTGAATAAGGAACAACAGTAATTAACAAATGACAAATGTACTGATACTAGGAAGCTGGGCTACTTTGACTGCCTCATGTGTCACGAGAGGCAGCCCCTAAGTCTAAGTCTAAGTCTAAGTAAATGTACTGATACAGATACACATCCACGCTCCGTGAGTACTCCTAACCATGGTTGGGGGGAGTTTGGCAGTGTTTGGGAGAATGTATTCGGCTTACCTGCTGTCATCGGGAATGAAGAGAGAATTAGCCGGGCCTTCGTCGTCAGAACTTTCTGAGGGCGGATCATTGATCCACTTGTCCAGATCCAGACCCTCGGGGACGGCCACTTTCCTCTGGGCTTTTGGAGCCACGGGGTTCAACTCTCCCGCAAACAGGGCCGCCACCTGAGATAAACAGACACGGACTTAATACCAACATTCCATATGTTGTACATGCTTTTCATTCATAGCTTTGGGAGAAATGACAGCACTGAGACAGAATTTGACCAGTTTAGACTTTGTCTTTCTCAAGAATGACAGAGATCGGACATCTCCTTCTTTGATATATTTTCTTTGTCTCTAGGGATACCTCCATGGAAATAGTTCAAAGAAACGAGCAAACAAACCTCATCAGCACATGAGACGTCCTTGTCCTGCAGCTTTTTCACATACTTCATCAGCTGGAGGATGCAGCATGCTCGCTCTTGGACCTGACAAAACAAAGTACAACCAATCAGCTGAGCATACCAAAACCTCAACTACAGACCTTTGCAACATACAAAGGCTACTAACAATGAACCCATTGTTTGAAAGAGTCTAGGTCTAGGAAAATTTTAGTCCTGAAAAATTTAGGGTTGAAAGGAGTTTTTCTTCTTTTTTCATATTAAATAAACAAAGCCTCAAACAAACAAACAAACAAACCTCGAGGTCTCCGCTCTGCACAAACATGGGCAGTTTCTCCACCAGCAGGTCGCTGACCTCCCGGATCCCGTCAGCATCCCCATCCTCCTCGTACTTAACCAGGATCGCGGCGTACAGCTTCATGATGTTCTGTACAAACACGGCCTGGATGTGGCCGGGAAGAGACGTGACCTTCTGTCGCAGCATGTCTTCTAACGTCCCCCGCGGGTCTCTCAGGTGCTCGGAGAACTCGCCGGCTATCCATGCGGCGGCGTACAGGACCTCACATATCCCATTCCTCTGGGCAGAGCTGGCCACAACGTGGGAGTTCTCCAACAGTTGGGCCTGGGAAGTATTGGAGCATCAACTGAGCACATTCCACTAGACAACAAGTTGTTTACCTACTTAATATGTTTTGTATTTTTAGCCAGTGGTATGGCACTGCCTTACAGTGGGAAATATGTCATATGTGACAATCGCATTTAAGTATATACAACATAATACAAAACTTGACAGACTTGCATCAAATATCAACAACTGTTTTCTCCGTTTAAGTTTCTGTGATTAAGTTGTTTAGCTTTAATATCCCATAGATTCAACAACTCTTATGTACACCAAATGTATTCGCGCAATTGCATTGGTAAAGTAGAATCCATTCTGGCAAATAAACAATGCTTTGACAAGAAGTTGGACACTATGAGACTTAGTGTACATGTAGAAAGGAGGAAAAGGCATCTTGGTACACCTAAGAAAGGTGAAGACATCTGGGAACACTGAAAACTTACCATCTGTTCCACAGCGAATGCCCTGATGGCCTTGACTCTGATGGCGACATCTAACATCTGTGAGGCGATGACACTGCCATGTCGTGTTCCCTCCACCCTGGTCAGTTCTACCAGCACACTCACATACCTGGGAAAACAGGATAACGTTTGTCTGTCAGGTTTGTTATGTTCATCACCAAAATAAGACACTTAAGTCTTCTATCTGATGATAGTGCTGACCTTAGAGTATGTCTTGGATAAAGGTATACAATTCTATTCATCCACAAGAGTTCCCTTAGTTTTTTTTTTCCTTTATCAAAAATTGTACAACTGGCACCAAATTCCAAAACTACATTCCTGCTCTTTATTCAGATCTACACTTTAACTTATAGCAGATTCAGTGCTGTTTAGTCAATCTATTCCAGGATATCAACAGGTTGAAGGGCCCTTCTTTCAACTCTTATTCACATATTACTAGTGTAGAGGAATGAAGTTTGCCACAATGCCAGATTTCACATTCATATGTATCATAATTTTTCAAGGAAGTGTAAAATATTACAATTACAATCTTTCACTACAAAAACAGTATCCAATAGGCTGCCGATATCCTTGTGGATTGTCTTTGTTACTGAAAGATTTGCTTCATGATTAGACTACAATGCCCACCATTCAAAGTTGGTGATGTACTGGTAGTTATTCTGGCTGCAGATCTGTACGATCTTGGACAGGAGTTCGTCCCGGTACATGGATCCCTCCGCCTTGTCCATGTGAATCATCAACTTACGCACGATCTCCATCAGGTTCTTCTTAGACACCTGCGGGAAAGACAACACAGTTTTCGTTTGGGATTCCATGTCACACAGTTAGCTAGTAGAATGGTTGATATTGTCAAACTAAAACTAAAAACGTAATATGCATAATGTTTACCTTCGCATATGGTCTGCTATGCTCTGTTACTCTTACTCAAACACAATCATATATGTGATAGGAGTCTACCTGTAAATCCCTCCTACTATAAAATTGCAACATGATGTAACCCAACACCTGTTACCATGATGTTCAGGGCATTGATCTTATTTGTTTGGAGAAGAAGAAGAGGAAACAGAGCAAAAACAATATCTTTCCTTCAGTAAAACATAACAAAACTAAAACTAGACTAAAACTAGACTAAATCTGCACATAAGCCAGCCTACCATGCCATATAGCAGGTCGAGTGCCCTGAGACGGATGGACTCGTCCTTATCGTCCAGACACTGCAGGATCAGGTCCTTGTGAGCCTGGACAGACTTGGGGTGGGTCTTCAGGATCTTAGACATGGCCAGCAGTCCCAGGTACTTCACTATAGGACAGGCACAACAAGGGAACAACATGTCCTTCATACATCACATTAATCACCCACCTAGCTGACCACTGAAACCGTGTAACATACAGCACATTTCATATCAATGCATATTTAATACAAAAAAGAGAGTTGTACACAAATTTAACATACATGTACACTCTGGAAACACGTCGGCAGAACTTACTGTGCTTGCGCAAAGCCCGTAATGTATCGTGCATAGCACTTCAGGACATTCTGTCAAAGTGCTATGCACAATACATCACAGATGTTGCACAGACACAACATGTTTCCATTCTACATGTATAAATATTTTCTCCAAAAACATTGACATAAGTTGCTTGAACAAGTCATATACAAATTCTATTTTTTCAGTCAGTGTTGCGAGACAAGCTCTCCTCGTATCCTCCTCCACACCTCTGTACAAACATGTATAGCGCTACACGGCGAGGTAGACACGGCCGCTAGCGGTATGTAAGGACTGTGTACGCACTGGAGGCACTTTGCTGGGAAGACGGGGACCCGTCAGAAACCAGGGACTGTTGGGCCTGCCCGTCGCTAGCATGGCTGTCGCCGAACGTCCCCTCGTCTAATGCACGATAGATCGAGCAGGGTCGCGTCATGACCAGGTGCACAGCACTGCCCTGTATCCCAGCACCGTGCACCAACATTTCTCTCACCACAGTTCTCCGTTAGACGGATTAGTCAGTACTACATTTTAAGATTTCGTTCATCGTTTTTTTAATCTGCTTCGACCTATCCCGTGGTTAGTTTTCGCATTATGCAACTAAACAACAAAGCAAGCCAAAAACACTTTCTTCTTTTACACAATAAATGGTGTTGACAGCACAATGCGCTATTTGCTATGATTTCAGGTAATTTTGCTAAAAATTTATGATCAGCAGCATTAAGAGAGATAAAAAGAGTATTTTAAATTTGCCCACTACAAAGCATACTGCAAGACTATTTTGTTATCTTTATCAAGTTGACACTGATTGTCAATGTGTCCCCTTCTTGTAAGAGACCCAGATGTAATAAGTAGAACTGGAATTATTTGTGTACTACAGAAGCATGACTTTGGCTTGCAGTATTTTTTAGTTGCAATGCAGCAATATGATTACATAAGGGCTTGGCAACATTTGTCATATGATTGCAAATGGGGGCCATTCTTGGATTAGCCGTTCATATGTTGTACAAAATCTTTTTACCAAAAGATAGTTTTCCATTCTTTTCAGAATTTTCATTCGTTTCTGACAGTCTGCTTGAAAATGCTTACGACAAATGAGACCACGCCCTTACCAGTATCTCTGCCGGCCATACTTACAGTTCTGATCCGAGTCTTCGATCAGGATTCGCAACTTCTGCACACACAGCTGGGAAAGAAGATAACAGCATGTTAGCAAACACATTGTATAATATATATCTGTTGTCTAGCAAACTCACAATCACACATATCATGTATGTCAGGGCAGAGATTGCAATTCTGTCAACAGAGGTCTCGATTTGAGTGTCTATCAGCAAAGATCTTTACCCGAGTCTGTGCAACTAGCAATTCTACCAATAGAGATCTGAATGATAGTTTCTGTCGACAGAGATCACAATGGAGTCTCTATCAACAGAGATCACGATCAGAGTCCCTCTTGACAGAGATCACAATAGGAGTCGATTGGCAGAGATCACGATTTACCTGTAGAGACCTCAATCAGAGTCTGTGTGATTCTACTAATACAGAGACTTCTATTATGATCTCTACAGGTAGAATCAACGATCCTCAATCTCTGCCCTGACATATACATTGTTCAGATTTTATTATCCTTGGAGATACATATTAGGCCAGTGGTACGCATCACCCCAAAATAAATTCTCATATTGCGAAAATGAAACTGAGAATTAACTTAAGAATTTCTAACTTGGCATGCTTTTAGTTAAGTAAAAAAAAAGTAAAATCATAAAAGTAAAGCAACAAAACATACACAAAGGGGCACTATTGAGTATCAATCATCACCAAACCAGACACCTAAATCCTTAAAAAATAAACTTATGTTGCATGCAAACTCAGACTTAAGATCAAAATCACTGAAGAAAATGTCCACATCAACTCAATCAAGCATAAAAATATAAATAATGTACAAGGCCACACAAATATAATCACTTATTTGACTGATTTTTTTCTGCGTTGTTTTGGTTCACTAAAAAACTGCCATATTTTGTAGCAATCTGGAAGTACAGCCAAATTCACAACCATTTATCCTTTTTTGAAAGCCTTGAAGCTTTAAAAATCCCTTTTTTATCATTTACAACTGCACAAATATCAGGACAGCTCCACCTTTTGAAGTTTCTATCATAAATTTCCCCACCCCCTTCCCAACTCTGTGACAATATGATAAAAAATTTTCAAACAGTTACAAAATTTGTATGGCCTTTCAAAGAAACGCATGCTCTACTCAAATGTCATGTGATGTAACAAAAATGAAGTAAAACAAAACCAGTTTTTTTCTTCAGGGAACCATGCACAACCAACGTGACGGGTGGGAGGTACTACAGTACAGTCACACGCAAATCTGACAACCGTACAACGGACGTGTGGAGTGTGGGAACGCTGTGTACCTGTATAGAGGCGTTGTGGTTTGGCATGCCTGAAGATAACGAGATAAGGACTGTAAGTTAAGAGAAAATGAAAAGATCGTTACTGCTTGTGAGGAAGTGGAGGGGTTTCATGGATCATTTGGTCGCAAAAAAATACTGTTTTAAAAAAAAATCCACCACCACTTGAGTGTGCAAAAGAAATTAACCCTTTTGCACCCACTGTTGCTTCTGATATACCATAATAATATCCATTCACCATTAAAAACACATGAATACAATTCAGGGACAGTTGCATGAGTCTACTTTTCCTGATTCTAAATTACAAAACAAGCTAGGGGTAACCTGAATTTATATTTCACATAAAAGATTTCTGACTAAAAAAAGGAATAAAAAATTGCAAAATACATTTGGGAGTTTTTTTTGCAGAGACAGAAACAATAAAAAGCAACAAAAAAAACTCAAGCAAATGATTTGGAAATGGTGAGAAACAGGAAAAATCCTTCTCTTTGCACACGTGTGGTGTGAGATTTTTTTTTTCAAATCAGATGACATCGATCAAATCCACAAAAATCACGACAAAGACATGAAAAATTCTGTGAAATCATCACCAAAGCAGACATAAACACCACGATATCCATGTACCTGCTATGACTGTGTTGATGCACTCATACAGTAGGGACATCGCCGATGTACTGGAGAGAAAGGGAAGAAAAACAGGTTCATACAACATCAGTAACAACAAACACACCACAACTTCAAACAAACTACTGTCAAACTTACCTAAGGTGACCACCCAGGGGAACAAGGAAAAGCTGCTTAGACAGATGGTCTTCTTATACAAAAATCATAATGACAAAACCGCAGCAAAATTTCCACCCGTTTTGCAAAAGACTGCCCAAGTGACCAAGCTGGCACCATTTTACAAAGACTGTCATGCTGGCGAAATCAATGGCAAACTGGCTAGTTTTTGGCCACACCCTTGAAAATGATGTGGTGATCATACTTATAGGCAGAGATTGGACCATATGCACAGGTCTCAAATAATGCCAGTCTCGGAGACATTGGACAAGCGGTCAGCTTAGGCAAGTTCCTTGATGCTTATGTCTATGGGAACCGAGTAAAAGTCATTTAGCCAAATGTCTGGCTTATAGAAGTACTTTAGTGGTCGCTTGGGCAAGTTTGACTGTACACTCAACCCAGGGATAGTCTCTACGCTATTCTGACAAGACACTGCTCCCACAAGATGCATCAAATTTGGAAAAGTTTTCAATCCAGCTGCTAGCAAGGCCAGTCACTGATGCTTGGCCAGTCAATAGTCCAGAATACTAGTAGTCAGATGGACTATCCAAAAGCAGCTTTTTTCACCAATTACAGACAAATGCTTTCATTTGTTTTCAGTGAAGTACAGGTACATGTTGGTAAATTCCAATATTTGTAAATATGTTAAAATCAAGGTACAATTAATTTTATTCTTTAAAAGATTTCTTTCCTTGAGTACAAATTTGTACTTCCGTGATTTACAACTTAAAGTGCACTTTTCCGTCATTTTCACATACATTTTGTAACAGGCCACATAAAGAAGGTTTCTATCAGTGCATGGTAGGTAGGGTTTGTACAGCTAGCATCAGAATTATCATAAAGAAATTAAAGTAATATATTTTCCATCTCTTTCCCTAGCAGTACAAGCCCTGATCATAGCACTGAAGACACAACTACAACACAGTATGGCCTGGTGGCCTCAGGGTCGGGGAGGGGGGCACGCTTCTGTTCTACGCCAAAGACAACATGCAGGACGAGTCAAGACAGCAGCCAGATAGAGAATTTGGAAGAGAAGGTGTCACACTCACTCGTCACTCCTGATGCTAAGGACATGTAAAATGTACAGAGACAGAGGTAGGTGTGAGCTAACGCAAGAAAAAGGTACTCTTTATTCATTACATTGTGCATAGTTGTGCAACCTTCCTCGCATTTCTGGGTGGTAGCAATTTTTTTCAGCAACATTTCTTTCCTTCCTGCTCCTTTTAATCTATAGACACCCCTCTCTCGCAATGGTTTACCCCTACTTTTACAAGAATCAATATAACCATGGATCAATACACTCTATAGAGTGGGGGTGACACAAAGCAATTAGAAAGTTGAAAGGAAGCAATTAATACCATGCAGACGTCACCTTGAGAAAGAAAAGGTCTTTACTACACGTATGCACACTACAAAGTAGAAACAAGGCAAAAAGCAGTGAAGTTAAAGCTTGTAGCATGCAAGGGGCTGTATTATAAAGCAGGGGCCACAGAACCATGTTAGATCACAGCACACATGTTAGCAATTTACACACAACATTTCTTCATATTTATCATAAAAATTTAATAAAAGCCTTCATACAGTATTTTCGATTAATTTCCAGTCTCCTTTCCTTTTTGCATGCTGCTTTCTTCTTAATGAATTGTCCTACTTTTCAAACATTTCAAAACTCTCAGCATTCTATTTGCTTTAAAAAAATTACCACTGCAAAACACGTTTCCACTGTCCTAACTCTTTAAAGCATCCAATGCAATTTCAGTTCAGCAAAACAAAAACTATTCTGGATGAGGAAATCTGTCTGATGTTCATCTACTGCCATTTTGTCATCATTTCATACTTGAAAGAAGAAAAGAAGGACTGGGAAATAGGACCTTGAAAATCCAGTTTTGCTGTCCTGAAATTGCATTAGATGCCTCTAAGGTGGACAGTCTTTTGTGTTGCTAATCTCTGTAGATAACTCTACAGTATACTGTTGTCCTTGTAATACATTCTGTAGTACATACCTGTGAATGAGGTTGGTGAGCGGTTCTATCAGCTTCTTTCCCAGTCTGGGCTCCAGGGGTGTCAACGCTCCAAACTGGTCAACAAAATATTACACCAATCAAAACACTTAACAAACATGCAAGCAAACAGCCTTTTTGTAGATTTTTAGATCTATTAAGTTATCCATGAAAGTGAATCACGGACTTCAAAAAATTTGTCATCGCTTATTTGCGTATCAATCAATAGTTCTTGCTTATAAACCTGCCTTTCTGCACAAGTTCTCTGGTCTCACTGACGAAAGGTAGTAAATGCTACGTGAAACGTCTGACCGTTTCCAAAATCATATCCAGTTGCTTGAGTAACTGTTTTTTGGCATATCTTATTACCTGGATGTCTAACCTTCACCAACGAATTACGGTATGTACTGACCAGTTTGATGATCTTGATAAGGACCCAGTTGTTGGTGGAGGACGTCATGAGTTTGAAGAAGACAGGTGCCAGGGACAGATAGTTCTTAGGGTTCTTCCTGGCCAGTTCACAGATCACATTAACAGCAGCTGACTGTACACCTGGGAACACAACAGACAGACAGAACATGTCATCTTTTTTGTCGCTCTTGCTGACTTGGTTATTAAAGACCTGATGACATTCAAAAAGGCTAAAAAATGCATGGAAATATCTGAAGTAAATATTGTAAAGTCAATTGAAGTTGGTTTTAATCATGATAAGAAATCTTTAAGAAAGTTGAACTCACCAGGATCTGGATCTTCTAGTTTCTCCTTCAGTCTTGGGAAGGCTGGTCTCAAAGCTTCTGGGAACTACAAAACACAAAACACAACGGTTCAGAACTTCTGCTATGGGAGTGTATGCCACTGTCTCAAATGAAATAGTACCAAAATAAAACATTCAACCCTTTATAATTCTACTGTACATAAAATTGTACTGTCATTATCTTCTCTAACAGAATGATCAAATTTCAACTTGCACAATTCTTAAAACTGTGACTTTAAAAAGTTACTTGAATTGGAGATTTGAGTACTTGAGAGCCAGTCTTACCTTGAGAAAGATCTTATACATGATGAGGACTGCCCTCTTCCTAATGTATGGCCTGGTGGACGTCATCTAGAACAACATCAGACATAAGAACTGTGTAATACTTGGCTGAATTCTTTATCAATAAGTGTGCTCCAATACCATAGCATATATGGTCACTGTTGTAGAGGACCATTTCTTATGGTAGAAAACTGTTCAAGCTGGTTAACCATGAAACAATATTACAGAAGGATCAGAGGTCTAAAGTTGTTGAAATCAACGTACCAGAGTCATGACGTCGTTGGCCAGGTCTCGTGCCAGGTCAGGGGTCATGAAGCAGGAGAGTCCATTGAGCGCGATGGCGGCGTCGTACTGGTTCTGACTGCTCAGGTCCTTCCTGATCATGTTGGTGGTCAGCATCAGGACCTCCGTCTCCTCATGGAAGGACTGCGACGCAGCAAGGTATCCAATCCTCTGGAATGAAGTATATAAATGTTCTGTTAACATCCGAAAATAGTTTCATCAGGTTGGTAAGTTATAGGATATAGAAGCTCTGAAGAAGGTGTCTGATAGGCATTGAAACGTGAGAAATTTTGGTTGTGTAGAAGAAAACTCATACCCTGTTAATAGTTTGATCTGGTTGGTCAGGAGAAACTACAGTTCTTAAATCATAACCTAACTGGCCAACCTGAAAAATTGTACTTGCTAATCATAAAAATGATACATGTAAAACGAACTGCTAAAGTCAACTTTCTCCAATATGTTTTGCCAGTATCTATTTTCCTAGATTTTCCAATAAAGTGACTGGAACATACACAGTACCTTGAACGTGAACTTGTTGGAGCTCATGACCTCGATGACATTAAAGGCAGCCCAGCTGATGTCATAACCCAGCATTTGAAGCTGGAATAGTAAGGCAAAATGTGGCATGAACAAGACATCATAATATTGCAAATTTCTTGGCAAAGAAGTGACTTCAATATATGAGCCATACAATACAGGACCACTGGTCATAAAGAGAAATCTTAATTTTTACAGTACATGACAGTAGCGAATTTCTGAAATTCCAGTTATTTTCATACAATGAACAATACCTTACAACTAAGGAAAACAGCAGGCAAACATGTAAATTTAACTTGGACTTACATAGGTGAGTTTGGCGACGGCATTTGCCTTGACTGCAATGTTGTCTTGTCGCAGCTCCTGTTTAATCTCATCAATGCACTGGGCGATGAACTTGGCCTGGAAGATAAATCAGCATTTCAAAACTAGCTAGAAGGTCTAATTTGGCCTCATTCTCCTAAAACAGTACTTTACACAACACAATACTAGCTACACAACACAACACTATAGTCATCCACACAATGCAAAAGCTCCAAAATCGAAATTCATTTTTGGGAATAGGTGCACTGGTGCACCCAACCTAAAAAAATTGGGTGTATAAAATTTTATAGGGTGCACATTTATAAGATAAAGTAAGTACAATGTAGAATGTCAGCAAAAACTAATCATGTTTCATTTCTAAGGAAAAGTTGATTTTATTTTTTTTTTCTGACACTTGGATGTCATTAACTTAAGAATATACTAATACAATACTAAACAGAGTTACAGTAGAGGCTTTTAAGGCCAGGGTAGAAGCCGCCCTGCCCTAACCCATGTACCGCTTCTCCCCCTCAGTGATACCCCATACAGGGGTTGTTCGAGGGTATTCGAAAAGAAGAAGACATATACATTGTACTACTATACATTAACATCTTACGTAAACCTACAAAAATTTTTGGGTGCACAGCTCCAAATTTGGCTGCACTAAGGTACACATACACCCAGTAGTTAGCTAATGTCTGGGCTGTAATCAAATAATAGCTTTGAATGGTACCAGCTGAGTCCAATGGAGATTAATGGTTCTGATATTGGCCAGTGACAGACAGCACCAGCGAAATGTTACACAGAGCTGGCACAGAGTTATAGTATGTTAGTGATAGCTTCAGATAAGGGGGACAGGAAGAGGGAAACCAGAGACAATCACACTGAGTCACAAGCTTGGTAAAAACAGAGACAAAAGTATCTGAGTGACTATGCCATTTGCTGGATTTGAAAGCTTTGGCCAGGATTTGGCTGAGTGACAGCAAAGATAGGTCATGTGCTGGGACAAATTCTACAGGCTTTAGTTTGAACAGATTGTGTTCAGCTGCCTCAGCTTTCTACAACAAAACTTAGTAGCTGTACACAGAAACTGATAATATGACACAGGCAACCGTTTTCGTCAGCGACATTGCATTTTTGCCTCAGAGATATGTCATATGATCACTTTAGATGGGATTGTGGATTCAACTTACTACATTTAAAAAAAAATGACCAATAAACTGTCTTTGAAAATAAATTTTACTGCTCTGACATTGCTTTGGGAGTTTTTAAGTTACTAGTACATGTTAAGTACACGAGATTGTAGCACACATGCATCTTCATCATGTGATTGTCACACTACAGCTACATACAGGTTATTGGCTCCAAAAACCCAGGGCAAGGGAAAAGTCCAATTTTGCGGAACAAAGAAAACAGGTCAGTAGTGTTTACTTTCTGCATCATGCAGTGATACTGATAGGTTACACAAACAAAGGACTGCTAGTACCTAACGTTAACAGGTATCAACTCAGGTGAATCAATAATCAGAATTCAGATAAAATCAGTGCCCTAAAATTTATATCAACAATTCCTGTGAATTTGAATTCTTGTGATAATGTGTCTTATTTTGGAACTGGGATTGACAACAAGCAGGAAATTAAATAAGGCTAAGCAAAAAGATCGTCGGGAGGAAATTAACTAGGATAAATAATTTTTATCTGATCACCTGAATATCGCCCCCCTCCCAATAAAAAGCTTTAAGTTTACTTAATTTTTTCCCCTTCAGTCACATTTTTGACAGATGCAAAACGTAGGCCATCTTAGATTAAAGCTATATGTCGTTAAGTTCCCTCTTCTCCGACACGTTTCGACTGCCAGTAAATAAAAATCATTAATTGGTACCGGTTTGGGGATCAAATCGCCCCTCCCCTCCCCAGCAAAAATCAATAAATCCCCCCTGCTTACCAAACATACAAATTCACCTGCGATAACTTCTACGCCACAGAATTCTGCATAGACATCTAATAACATCGAAATTGAAGACAAAGACTATATGTAAAAGCTCAGATCACGACCAACATATTTGCTGGGAAGGAAAAACAAGCGAGAAGAAAGATAATTTGTAAACCCACCTCGTCATCTTTGTGGTTCCGTATGCCACGTACCAAATCGTGCAGGTTCTTGTCAAAAACGCGCTCAAGGCTCCCTTTAACTTTCTTCAGCGCCATCTTGAGATTTTTCTACTACAGGGAGAGGACGCCTTGGTGGTTGTCGTTCTCGGGTGAGCAAATGGCGTTGTGTGGAGGTTATAAAACCATTTTCCGAAGGTTTTTTTGCGAAGGTGTCGTCCGACGATCTCTAGTCACAGAAACAAGATGGAGGACGTGGTGGTCATGTGACGCGGTGACGTCATGCCGGGATCAGCTGATCAATCTCCAAGCAGATGTTTTCGGGAGAAAAATCGCGCTATACTGTTTGTCAAAAGCGGTTGAAGGCGTAATACATTTTATCTCCAACTGATGTATAGGGTTAGCGTAAAAAAAAATTGCAAAAAAGAAAGCCGGAGAAAAAAAAGCCTAATACACGCGCCAAAAATAAGCAAAAACCCAAAACTCTGTTTGGAAAGTAATACTGTGAGGCACGGCAACCTGTAGGATTTCATTTTGCATGGTGGGCGGGCGGCTGAGAGCTCCTAGTCTAGAGCCCCGTCAAAGACATGAACCAAAGACTGGACTGGATACCAGACTGCAACTTTACAAGTGAAGTATATTTTCAGCCAGGTATCCAGTCTTGTCTTTGATTGTGAAGGGTGTGCCTGCATCAAAAGCGGCCTCCGGCAGCTCAATCAAGGACTGCACCAATATGTTAACCACGTACCCATTGCTGCAGTGATTTTATTCGCCGCTACGAGTACGAAGCGTTTTTGATGCATGGCGATTTCAATCTGGTATTTTATCGCCGCTGTGAGGCGTTTTTGATACATGCCTAAAACTACCAGGTTAACAACGCGTTTCCTTAATTCACAATTAATGGCAATGAAAATGGACAGGTTTCAGAGAAAAGATTTGACATAGGAAACGTCTAAGAAATATAAAAGGCAGCATCTTTTTTCTCATCTTTTAGCTTCATTAATAGTTAGTTAATTTTGTATCTGTTAACCGTGTCCATTCATCTTGTTTTGTTGTCACCTGTACTTAGCCAAGTGAGGCAGAAATGTGCAATAAAGGTCTTCATTCATTCACTTAATATAAAGAAAGGTAAGAAATCTTAGATTTCAAACTTCTGAGAAGTAGTTGATGAATTGCATCATGGAATGGACGACATGTATTACACCATCCTTCCCAATGTGAAAATCCAACATACAAACTCCCTATACCAGTGCCCCCAAAGCAATACTTCTGTCCCATACATGTTATACATGTACTTCCATCCCAGAAATAATTAACGTTAACACAGAACACAGGAGAAGTAATATTTTGCACAAGGTTTATTTTGTTCCGCCAAGCAGCTTGAGTAGCATCTAAAATTGACCTGGTGTCTGTACTGTATATACAATAATCTCTTCTGTTACTTAAACACTCTTACTGTAAATCTCCGTTTCGAGGTTATATTTCTTTAAGAGTAGGCCACACCACTTTGTTTTCTTGGTTCTCCTTAAGTGTTTTGCAAAGATAAAAACATAAGGCTGGGAGGAAAACTTGTATCTGACTACATGAACATGCTGTGTTTGTGTGTAGACTTTTCTGCGATCATGTTTTAATATTTCAGTTCAGAATATATTCATTTCTTTTCAAATTCGAGAACCAAGAAATTAAATGGTGTCGGCCTCACACCACAAATACATACAGCCATCACAAATGGATCTTTTGAATCTGTTTGAGTCTGAACAATCAACGTTCTTGTTCAAGTACAAGAGGATACATCTATGTGTGAACTCAAGGCTGTGTGCAAATAATGTAAAACATAGATACCACAAGTGTTGGGTTAGGCTGCATTGTAACTGAAGGTTTGCCTTAAAGATTTCGACAAGAGTTTCTTTTACAGTAAGAGCTATATTTTGTGATTTAGAGCGGTAAAAGCCATTTTTTTAAAGCTTGGTACGCTTCTACTACCCAACAAGGGTAAGCAAAACCCCACATTGACAAACATCATACATATCATATATATAATATATCTGTATTTTCAACAACTTTCCTTTTCTCTTTTGGCATCAACATATATATGGGTCAAGCAAAAAAACAAACGATTAAATAAATGCAAACTGAGTAAATGTTTTCAGCGCACACACATGATCTTACAACGCATCGATGTGCACAGCCAAAGAACAGAGCATCAAACAAAACAATGCTTAGAAATCCATTGTCTGAAACAATAAACAAAACCTGCTGGCTCGCACATATTAGTTGCTGGTAAATCCAGGCATATTTACAAAGCTGTAGTGCAGTTTGTGTGTTCAACTTAGTCCTCTACTGGAGTCAGGTATTACACTCTTTATAATATATGTTGAAAATATCTGAAGAAATCTTAACAAAATTGGTGTAAGTTCTTTGCTCATATGTCTTCAAGACATGGCTGTAGTTTCTTGTGGACTTGATTTTTTCTATGAACTAAATTGTATCCACGAAAAACGTATACAAAGACCTCTTTATATACTACTTCCATGTTGTTACTTTTTTAGAATCATATGACATTCCAATGTTAGACTTAATACTTCACAGATCTTTAACAACACAGGAATAAAACATACCAATGACATAACAGACTAGAATCTGAATAATGAAATATTCTTTACAGAACATTACAAGATTCTCCTGTACCACAAAAGTATGTCTACGACATAAAGTCTTCCTTGTGCTTTAAGGTACTATTTATCTGAAGCTCCGTAAAAAAATCCCCTGAAAGTTCTCAATCAACAAACCTTTAAAGAAGAAGATTTCTTTCCTGACTTTCAAGAAGTAATGACTGATTTCTTGGGTTGACGGCACAAGACATAACTAGCTCAAGAAAGACATTTTATGAGCACACTAAAAACGGAGAAATTATATAAGACAGTTTAGGTTAATGTGAAAGAAAGGTGACAGCCCTGGGAAGTAACTGTTAATTCAACTGGATAATATGGAGGATATTTGGAGCAATACATATGAAAGTAGGCCTGCTAAAGAAAAAAAGGAGTAAAAACTCCATAGAATAGACATCTTCAGAAATACACAAAATTTACATGAAACCAATGTACAAAGTGCAACACTGGCCTTAGAAAGGGTGCGTTTCAGTGAACTCTTGCTTTAGGGATATAGATGTGATACAAATTTCAAGTTGATCTCTAGTGTGCACATAACAACTATTAAAATCTATTTCTTTAGTCTGGAAAATATTCATTATGTTAAGGCACATTCTTGGTAAAGCCATTGTTTGGAAAATACTTTTGGTATTAAAACATATATAAATTACAAAATGTAGTAAAGCTCTACAGTTCAAGTTGGAATTTGAAGGCTTTGAGTGCTCATTTTAAGATAAAAAGGTGTGAAACATCAAGACTCCCAAGGCACATGATACAGTTTTCAATCCAAGCAACATCAGGGAACAGTTCAACTTCTGACATCTCTCTCTCTCTGCCAGCATTCCCACCAGACTCTTAAGTAAAGGGTACTCAGAATACATGAAAAATCTTTGGAAGGAAGTACCGAAGGCGCCATAAGGCTAAGGAGATCTGGGGGCAGAATTTTTCTCTGCCAGAAAAATTACTTTACTGAATGTCTGAACTATCTGAAACTCAATTATCAGCATTTTGAGCAATAAATTTTGACTTGAAACAATTTGCAAATACACAATCGTTTTCAGCCTATAAATTCCTTTTTTTTAGCAATTTTGCAGCAAGGTTCTCTGAAGAAAATATAATTGAAAAAAGAACGTCCAAAGATTGCAAATTGACAGTCTGGTGGGAATGCTGCTCACTGCTATAAAAGGCACTTCTGGTACGGCTGTAACACCGAAGAGCAACCAAGTCACGAGGTGTACAAAATTCTACTACCCTTAATAATTCTTCTACTCTCCAATATGGCCGAGGAGCAACTCCAAGCTCCTCTGAGGACAGATAAAAAGTTCTGTGCAAGTTTCTCTCCTCTCAAAGACATTATTAAAGTTCATTCACTGGCGTAAAACACATAATTTCACTGACTGTACAGAATACGATACATAATCACTGTTCTTTCAACCTTACAAGTGATCTATTATTTCACATCCGCAACACATGATTCTCTTTTCTTCTCTTCGCTGATCTCAAGTCAGCTTCTTTCTGATATACTGTACAAAAAAAAACGGCCGCGATCACCAGCGGTTATTCCGAGATCTTCTCCTCCTGTCATGACGAACCGTCGGCGTAGACAGCTGACTGCCGGCTGTAGCACCGATCCACCGCGTTCAGCTGGAGGAAGCTGCCTTCATCGGAGGCGTGACTTCGGATGGACGGAGTAGCAGGCATCTCATAACCTGCGGAGGCACATCCACAAACACTCAACATTAGTCCATGCAGTGGGATAAGATTTTTAAATGTTTATTTGCACATAAAGCCATGTTGATTTGATCCTAAAGATGACATCCGCAATTTTCGTCCATCTCCAAAAAAAGTTTTTGACCATACTGTAAATCCTACGAAACAGCTGCAAAATGAGCCTGGCTCTTTTCCACAAGCACAATGAACAGTGGACCATGGCTTAACATCCCATCCTAAGCATTGCGACCCAGTAGCATTTATGTCAGGTGAGCGATAACAGCCAGGATTCAAACTCCTAATCTCATAGTCCAGAGGCAGGGTTGTTAACCACTAGGCTATGCATACTACTTGCACTCTTAGTGATTTAGAAAGGATTCATTGATCTGTCCTTACCTCCCGACATGCCTGATCTTGCAGAGAACGCCCGCTGGAGCTGTTCGAACGTGGCGGTAGCCGGCGTGAGCGTCTCCTCGAACGTGGGGATGGCCATGAGGTTACGGGGGCTGTGGTGGCGGACAGGCGGGAGGGAGTGGCGCTCGGGCTCCCCGTGCACGGGGGCGTGCCCCAGGGGGGTGGGGAAGGACTGGCTCGTGTTGCCATGGTAACCTATGAGTGACAGTAGGAGACATTCAATATCTACAGCATAAGAACTTGTCTATCTTATTGTTTATCAAAACTGTCAACTTCTTGAAATAAAAAGGATTGTTTTGTCTTGGGGGAACTAACAAGGCTGGACTCTAGGCTAACACTTCAAATTTCCTCCTTACAAAACAGGTGTGTTATGCCTAAAGGCAGTTTATCATTTATGTGACCATGCAGGGCTCTTGCCTGCTTAATTTTTTGTTGCATCCTTTGGATGTCTTTATATTTCTAACCAAGATTTTTGTCAATTTTGTCCATTCTGTCAAGGTTGACGGATTGGTTTCAAAATTTGTCCGTCACACGCCACAAAGGTCCTGCAATTGGCGGAAAAACGAGTGCTGGCTAGAGCCCCGTATGTGACTCAAGAAAGAGAAACAAAATATGATACTGACCTTGTATGAAGATGGATGCCTGGAACTGTGGCGGGGGTTGTGGGGGGAGCTGGGGTTTCCGAGGGGGCAGCATGCTGGGGGGCGGCATCCGGCGTGCCTGGGCGTGGGGGTGGTGCGGGGGGTGGTGACTGGAGGGGGAGAAGTGCCCCATACCCCTGGGGGAGAAGAGAACATCACAGGTCAGCAAAGATTTACAAGCTGAGACAACATTTAATACATGCAAGTACATGTATTGCCAAATGCACTGTCAAATATACAGAGTATTGGCATTGGTTCAAAGAAAATACATCTTAAGACCACACAAATTTGATTTTAATCGTTGGTTCTTAGATTTCTACAGGAAGTCAATAAATGAAGCAGACAAAAAGAAAAAGAAAAGGAAGGCATCCAAATGCTACCATAGCAGCCATTATGTCAACATATTACTAGGCTGGCTCATAATTCAAGCAATGAATTTTAAACTCAAATCACTGCAGAAATGAAAAAAAAAACTGGACACAGTAACAACTTGTAAGACAAGGACTTTCTTCAAATGTTGGTGCCATAAATATGAGCATTTTGGGTGGATTTTGAAGCTGAATGGAACATGTACTTGTTCTATGTATAACGTTACCCACCTTTCTCTTTCATCCATGGACGGCATCTGTGGCGGGGGTGCGAGCGGACTCATGCTGTGGACGGGCGTGTTGTTGGCGGGGGACGGGTGGCTGCTGTGATTGGACGCGCCCGTCGCTGTGCCGCTGCGGCTGGAGTGCGTGCTCCCGTACATACCTGAGGAGACAAACAATGGTTACCATCTCTCAGTTTCAAGTCTGGTACATATTGAAAACATGCCGGACTTTTTTAGTCCGAAACAAGAGTTGCTGTCCCACTGCGGCTGGAGTGCGTGCTCCCGTACATGCCTGGGGAGACAAACAACCATCTCTCAGTCTCACGTCTTGTCATTTTTGGATGTTCGCCAGACTTTTAACTGCAAACTCATCTAGCAACTGTGATAGTCCACACACATTACACAAGAGCCCAAAAGAAAACTTAGCTAAGGAATGGACTACAATTTTGTACCAAATTATTGCGAGGAAGCATGATGATCTAGGAATTTTATGTTTTAATTACATGAATGTGGTCTTGACAAAGACTGGTGCTTTATGTTTTGTCAGAAATTTGGTGCACTTTCTCACTGTATTGAAATTACAGCAGTGTTTAACCCTGTTTTCAAATCGTTTGTTTGCTTGATTAATTAATTGATTTATTCAACTCATGCTCTCACTGACTGATAATATACAAAGCAATATTGATGAAATTGTCATACATGAATGAATAAAATTTCAAAGGAATATTTTTGCTTGTTTGTTTGTTTGTTTGTTTTGCCAACCTTGGTACATGTCCGACGATGTTCCAGGCATGGAGGAGTGCGGAGAGTGGCATATACAAAACAATATTGATGAAGTTTCCTATATGAAAGAAAAACAATTTCAAAGGAATATTTTTGTTTGTTTGTTTGTTTTGCATACCTTGGTACATGTCAGACGATGTTCCAGGCATGGAGGAGTGCGGAGAGTGTCCCAGCGAGCTGTCGCACGTGCTGCCTCCAAGCGGTGAGCGGTCGCCGTGCCCCACGGGGTGGATGGGCTGGATCGTCAGACATTCACTCAGCATCACCTCCGACGTCAGCTCACCCTCCAAGTTACTCGCTCGTAACTACAATTAAACGGGAGATAACCAATACAGTGTTCAAATAGGAAAATACATTAAAGAATGTTTCGATCTTAATAGAGAACACATGTTAAAGAATAGTTAACCTTTATTGTTACATCATACATATACTCTGTACGTAAGATAACGTTATCCACACATGTATTATGATCTTTAGTTAAGTTGTAGAAGACCTTACAAAAGTCTCTGTACTTTTTTGTTGTGTCAATAAAGAATCTACGATTAAAGGCAAACCAGTTAGAATATGACATAACTTAAACCACCTTGAATACATACATGTAGGTGTTTTTCTTATTCATTAATTCATTTCAGCTTTTTCTACATGATTTCATTAATTTCAGCTTTATTATAGTATGGTACATGCAAAAGGAAGAAGAAAAAACAGGAGATTTCATGATCATGATTCGTGATCATAATGAATAAGACTTAGTGGGGTCCACAAAAATCTATATTTGAGTTTGGTCATATGATACATGTAATTATGTTCAGAATCATTGCTCTTGGGTCAAAATGCAACAGGTACTTGTGTAGACTTGAACACCACACCACAGAAAATAAGAACTTGATACAACATTGTACACCAATGCACACTTAACCATAACCTTCAGTTGGAACTCTCTGTAAACACTATATGTGCACAGATTCCAAAATACAGAGACGATAAAAGGATAGAGACTACAATCCCAATGGTATAACCACTTAGAGAATGGAACAAATCGCAGCTAAACCCTAAAACTGTAATTAGCAACAAGGGACTTAATTTGCTTGTTAGTGTAATCATGCCAGTTTAGTGTAAGGTTCTTGCTGCCCAATTTAAGGTGAAGGAGAGTGTATGGAGCAGATTTGTTCATCCCTGCACTGTTGTAAGAAAGGTTAAGTCTGAGAACAGGCTATACGGTGGATTTCCAGGTGTTGGTGTAATGGGGGAGGGGGGTCGTGGGTGCAAGCCACCTGCGATGACAGACAGAGAAATGCCGGGTACAACTACGACTCCTAAAAAGGCCACAAACTTGTGCGACTTCAGCCTGTTGTAGGTTACAGTGTATGAAACGGATTTGGTAAAAGCTAAACGAAGCAGACCACACACATTTCCAGTACGGTGTCCCAAAACAGAGGTCATATGATCCATCGTTCGAAAAACATAGCCTTTACGTTGACTAACCAAGGAAGGATTTGCAAAGGCCTAGGAAAAAAAATATTGTGTTTCCTGTTTCAATCTTGAAAAAATTGGGGTTCGTTAGGTAGGGATTATCTTTTTCTTTTTTCTTTTTCCTATTAGATTGTTTCATCACTCTGGTGTCAGTTCAGCTCAAAATATTTTAATGCCTCTTGCAGGGGCCCACAAAAAAAGGCTAGGGTCGGCATTTTTTCTGGGATCGGTCGGGAAACAGGAAACAAAACTTCCTTTTTTTCCGTAGGCCCTACGGCTTCGGGGATTTCTATGCTGAAGTCTGTGACATTTTGTACTGACTTAGGTGGGCGAAGGTTTAAGTAGGGTCACTCAGGAGGTTAGAGGGAGCTTGTCTAAACTAAACCAGTATTAACCAGCTCAGAGCAGGGTCAGCCGGTGTAGTGTAGGATAGGAAGGCCACTGGTACATGATGACAGAGTAAGAGAATCTGGGTAAGACAGGGTAAGACTTGTGCACAAGCCTAATGTTACCCCAGCCCTAATTAATGATCACAGGCCTTAGGGTTAAAACCACCCAGGTGCAGGGATTTACTGTATTCACTTTGGTTGGGAACAAGGGGGGAAGAAGGAAAAGACCTTGTATTTTTACCTCAAAATGAACGTGGAACTGTCTAACCAAAGCTTGTTAGACCATACAAACTTGTGACACTATTGTAAATAAAAGAACAGCTACACAAACAAAAGAAAAGTGACTTCAGAGACTAGATAGAAAATTTAAAATGTTTCAAGTAGAATCCACTACTTTTCGTAAGTGACTGAAAAAGCAAGTCTCTCAAGTTGCCATGAAAATGTTGAAAGTTAGAAAATCAGTCCATCTTTAAACATTAGCTGAAGTGTTTTCTACTCTTGCACTGAAAGGATTTTATCCTTAAAATCGAGTTTGTGTGCCCTTAACTCCAAATACAGTCATATGGCTTGGTTCCAACAAGCCCTTTTCATGTCTTACTCCTGGCAATCCAACAGGTGGTCTTATTCTGTCTCCAACTCCTGCCAGAAATCGCCCCCACACTCTCCCTAGGCCTAGGAAAAAAAATGTTGTGTTTCTTGTTTTCCGACCGACCCTAGAAAAACCTGCCGACCCTAGCCTCTCTTTTTGGTGGATCCCTGCATGGAACATATTAAATTTTTTAGCTGATCGACCTTTTCTAGCTCCATGATCTGACACCTGAGTGATAAAACGTTGTACAATTGGTTCTACCATTGACATTGAAAACAAAAGTGTCCTCATGCAATTTTTACTTTTAAACTGTATTGTATAAGCTGGATGATAACACTGAAGTCTAAAAAAAAGAAAGAAAAAAAAGTAATTTAATTTTTTTCAGGACTGAAACAGGAAACACAACATTTTCTTTCCTAGGCCCCAAGAAAACAGTCTCAGACGGGAGCTCAGACGTGACCTTTAAGAGAGTCGTTACCTTCTTCCGTGCCTGCTGCTCCTTGGCCGTGTGCGCCTTGACGTGTTTTCGCAGCGAGCTTGGGTCCGTGTAGCGCTTGGTACACCCTGGTATCTGACACGCGTAGGGTTTCTGTCGGTGGAAAAAACAACATTTTAACAACTTCCACATGAAGTGTGGGCAAGTTGACAACAATCTCAACAGGGGATCTGTATTCTCTTTGCCAGCCTAATTCATCAGCTAGTTTCTTTCCAAAAGGAATTTTGAATGTTACAGAAACCCATTACTTGACAAAAACATAAAATATTGTTTGTTTGTTTGTTTGTTTGTTTGTTTGTTTGTTACAGGATGAAATCAACTTGACATGATGTCCCTAAAGGGACTTTGTCTAGTAGTACTATATAAGAAATGTCCTATTACAAGGTTGTTTTCTGCCCTTGATCAGATTCTGACTGAAGACAAATACACCAGTTTCAAACTGATACATTTTGCTGCTGAGAGATGAGCAAAAACAACAAGGTGACGGTATGAAACTGATGGAAGTGCGCATGCTTGTTCAGCAGAATGACTTTTGGTGTTCAACATCTACTCATTTACAGAGTACACAGGCTATAATTGGTTCAAGAACACAGTCAGAAACCTGACTCTCCCTTTTAACCACTCACCCCACCACTCATCCAACAAGTTCACATCTGGTGTCAGCAGTGAAGTTAGATTTATTACCTTCAGGAAGAAGGTTATGTTTTTGTTACCGTTTGTGTGTGTGTAATACTATGTATGTGTGTGTATTTCAACACGGTACCTAAAAAGGTCTAAATGAATTGTCTTGATATTTCATACGCAGGTAGGTCTTGATGAGACCTCAAAACGATTAGATTTTACCCCCAAAATTATCTGTACAAGCAATATTCTTTGAGGCAAACGCATACGTTTCATGCATCAAGGCGCCCTCAGGCGATATGTATTTCTTGGTTAAAGAAATAAAACAAACAAACAAACAAACCGTGTCCAGATGCGTTCTCTGGTGCTTGGCGCGGTCGGAGGAGTTACTGAAGGCCTTCTGACACCCTGCGTGCTGACACAAGTACGGCTTCTCTCCCGTGTGAGACCGCAGGTGGATCTTCAAGTTCTCAAGTCGAGAGAACGCCTTGTTACACCCTTCAAACTGCAGAGAGCAACAAAGCAGAAGATTTTTACATTTCGTAAATTGAGAAATAGCACAAGGATTGAACAGGTGGATTTTTAGGTTACATACTAAAAAAAACAGCTTGTTACACCCTTCAAACTCCAGCGATCAACATAGAAAAAGAATGTTACATTAATTTATTTTAATAAATTGAATAGCACAAGAATTGATGAGGTGAATGTTTGTGTTATCTAGTCAAGAATGTTACATTTTGCAAATTGAGAAACAGCACAATGATCAAACAGGTGGATTTTTAGGTTCTCTGGTAGAGAGAACGTCTTCTTATACCCTTTAAACTGAAGCAATCAACATGGCAGAAAAATATACTTACATTTTGTAAATAGATAAGAATACTATAATATACAGTATATCCTTGACATTTAAGTGTCAGAAAAGGTAATAAAATGCGTGTTTTATTACTAGTCTCAAATTCTGAACTAAAAAATAGATTGAAGCTCTGAGGAAAGGCAGAGAATGCAGTATGTACCATATTCTTAAAAGACTGTACAAGTATGACTCGGGGATTGAACTCCCGAATGCAAAGCGAACACTCTACACACTTTGTATCAGTACTGTATTGTTCATATCAGAGAAAAATCACAGAGATTGAATAACAGTTTCTGCAGATCACTATCTGCCTTTCTTGATAACTGGGTGACTGGGAAATGTTTCTACAGTTGACACACACCTGTGGAGTAACCTGGAAGTCCCCCAAGTTCATTACAAACTACAAAACTGACAGGCAACATTCCAGGGAGAAGATTGCGGTCAGAGGTCAACCAAACCTCGATTATTCATTTCCTAACACTGTCCGTCAGCTTATCTTGTAGAGCACTAGTGATGGGGACAGCCTTCAAACACATAGATGTCAAAAGAAGTTACGTCTTGTTGATTTCATTTTTTTTGCTTATTGGTTTGTTTGTTAGCTTGTTTGCTGGTGAATAGAACAACTGAAAACATAACATGATCATTGTCTTTTTATATAGTTGGGAAAAATCGACATACAAATCCAGTGATTTCTTCAATCTAACATAAAGTAGTTATGAAAGCTCATCTGTGTTGGTAGTTACATGTTTAAGGTTAAAACTTTCGAAAAAAAGTACTTAGTATATCTTTGAATATGGTAGGACAATGAAAGAAATATTTGTGAGCATAAGTCAAAACCTGATAAATTTTTATAAACCGGTACACTTGTATTCAAAGGTAAAACATCGCCACCGGGTAAAAAAAATGGAACAACAACAGGTTAAAGTATGGATCTAAAGGGTAGGTTAGATTGAGATGTTCTGCCATACTCTAAAGGCTGCATTGTCCTGGACAAAGACAAGATGAACGTGCATGGATTAAGGTAGGCTCTAAGGTAAACAAAACTTTTTAGCAGTATCATGACACAATAGGCATACAAAGCCCTTAAGTCGGAAGCATTCTTGTCTCTTTAGTGGCGGATCTTTTCAGAAATAGGTACCACAAGCGGCTAGTGATGTTACGCGATCCGCAGGGATCATAGAGAAGTGCACGGGAAGCAAAACTTCGATCGGGCACCGATCTGATCGTAGGCCGGTATAAACAGTCAGATGGTTCCAAACGCGGTAACCGATCCCGCCGAGGATTGATTTCGCAGGCTGCACTTCCGTTGCTTTTGTTGGAGGGTCAAACAATGCCTCCCGAGCCCGGCGCACCAGAGACAAAACTCCCGAAACCCGATACGCCGGGGCAATGATATGCATGTGTCAGCCATTCCTGGCATTTCTAGACAATTTGACATGCCGGGGAAAAACTAGATGTCCCTTCCTCCCAGCCATTTCCTTGTAGAAAACAAGGCGAGCACGTAAGTTAGGCTTGTGAGAAATCCGATCCCTGCAGCAAAAGGATTTTGTTTTAATGTTTATAGTGAAGCACATGTCACAGGACTAATCGAGTGGCGAGAAAAACAACATGCCATTAACAGGTGCGCAGCAACGAGGGACCTGCTACTTGTAGGATTCTAGGTCAGAGGTCAGCTTGCATACATTCGCAAATCTGAAGTTGCACCGAGTTAAGTTGCTGGTTCCCTGATTCTAAAAAAAAATCCTGGGCTAGAAAGTCAAAACTGGCGGAAAAAGATTTTAAAGCTGGCCATGAGAGCCCTGGTGTAGACAATGAGATGCAAGTTTTCCTCACAGCCTCCTTCTTGCTAAACTTTCACTTCAAGACGAGAAATTGGTCCGGCCTAAGCCGGCGCTAATCTAACCGGCAGTCTGGTCTTATCGTGTCACCCGGCGTAGCAAACTAACCGCCGTGGCGAGGGGAAACAATACAAGTCACGAGTCTGGAGCCCCGCAGCATTAGGAGAAAGTGCGCAGTGTTGTTGTTGGCAGGGCTTGGGCAGCGTACTGTTGCACATACCGAGTGGCCGTCTCTTGGCCAGTCAATCTGCACTAAGTGGTTTACAGGGCAGATGAACGGATGTGATGAGTGATACTGATAAACCCAGCTGTCCTTCAAACTACTGGGGATGCCAAACTTTTTTACCGGTGAAATGTTTCATGAAATAATCATAGGAAATTTTGCAATTTTTGGACAAAATTGTTTTAAAACTTGCCACTGAGAAATTTTATTTTTAAAAAATGCCTTTCTAAGCCTGGGGATGCAAAACTTTTTTCCTGATGAAAAGTTTCAAGGTATAATTATAGTACACTTTTGCAAATTAGAATTTTTGCTCATTTCAAAACTTGCCAATAAGAAGATTCACTCTTAAAAATGTATTTCTGTAATAAACCTCAAAAATATTATATTGCCCATATTTACATGCATGTGTAAAATTGTGTTACTAGGGCAGTTTTTGAGAACTGTGGCAATCTAATAATGTGTAGATATTTACATGTATGCACCTGTGTACAATGTATATGGAGCATAGCCTTGTCTTATCCTTAGTGACAGGTCGACATCTGAATTCTCGATGTCAGCATTAAGTCAGGTGCAGAATCTTAGTGTCAGTAGGTCTGGCTGAGGAATCTTGGAGCCAGGAAGTCAGGTGTGCTCCTCAGCACCTACAGGTGGCACCTGTCAGTTACCCAGACATCTGTCAGCAGGTGCCATATATAACCATGGCAGCTGCTGACAGCACACAGACAGCTGGTAGAGAAACAGACTTGTCTAGAAGTTACTGTATCCAGTGTTCTAGCCAGTGACCGTCTTTCCGTCAATTTGACAGAACTTCGCAGTTCATGACAGACAAAAATTTTGCCCAATCCTTCATCTTTGAAGGACAAAATTTGGCGTGGAAAGAGGTGTCATTCAACTAAGCTTAGTCTACTAGCTGAGGCTAAAATTTACTCCGGCCCCAAAAAGGAGGAAACAGTGTTTCAGAGGGTCAACATTAGAAATAAGAGTGTCCTGTCTGCCACTCAAAATGACATTACATCAAAAAGATTGAGATGATGGGAGAAAAGAAATCAATAAGTCATTAAAAATTGCAAGACTACAAAAAAAAAATTAAATATAGTGTATACCTCTCTGTCTGTCAGTCAGTCTGAAAGACTATCATGACTTAAACCGTGCAAAAGGAGTTGGTACAGATACAAATCAAATTTGAATAGGAACATTTTGAGTCCAGGTTTAATTTAAAACTAGATATAGCAAAATTAATATAGAAAAAAAGCTAAGACTGAGCTGGAGCCTTAATACATCTGCTTGGAGATTACACACCTCCAACCCTCCCCCCCCCACCTGTTCCAAACATCCTGAACACAGATTAACCCGGCACCGACTCCGACCCTCTTCCCTGTAGGAGCAATCAATATCCGTCGCATTCCTCCCCGTTTGTCCCAGCCGTAGTTTGAAGAGGAGGAACAATGGCGGCCATTGTGAACACCAGCAAGTCACGACAACCATGGGCAAACAGCCATGTTATCAACAACCTTTTACTTTTGTTAGGCCGAGGAAAAAAAATGTTGTGTTTCCTGTTTCCCCACCGACCCTAGAAAAAAACTACCTTCCCTAGACTTTTTTTGGGGGTGGACCCCTGCAAGGGAAAATTTGTCGAGCTGATCAACCTTTTCTAGCTCCATGATCTGACACCCGAGTTATAAAATGTTGTACAATTGGTTTTCTAACATTGACATTGAAAATAAAAGTGTTGTCATGCACATTTTACTTGTTAAACTGTATTGTATAAGTTGGACCCCTATATAGATATCACTACATTTCTAGAAAAAAAAGGTAATCCCTACCTACCTAGTACAAAATTTTGTCAGGACTGAAACAGGAAACACAACATTTTTTTTCCCAGGCCTTGGGACATTCTTCCGCCTCTTGGACCAGAAACACGCTACGTATACGCTCCCATAAAAATGTCGCTGATGAATGTTTGCACAAAACAATGCTAATGAGTGTTAGTTTGTTAGGATACTTCTTTCTTTTCCATCTTGTTCTTTCATTTCAGAAACTTCTGAAAAAAACCTGTTCTATTGTCAAATTAATTTGTGAATTGTATATTCCAGGGATATTCAGCTATGACCCCAAAACCAATAAGAAAACCACTAAGTCAATATTTGCCATGATGAAAAGTTTCTGCACTATTTGAAGTTACTATAAATAACTTGTCCAACTCTTGGCATTAACATAATTGATAATCAATGAATTACGTACGTTATACTTTTGTGTCATTGACTACCTTTGAAACAAATCATCAAAAAAAAGGTAATTGTTAGACAGAAAAATACTATATTTTCAAACAAGGAAGTTTAGACATACCCAAGACAACAAAAACTTAAATTTATGTCACTTGTATAGAAGAGAATCTTGCATGACTTGGAAAAACTCTACTCTATACACAAAAACCTCTTCGCTGGGACAGAGCCTCTTTCAAGGAAGTACAGTCCTAGAAACATGCCTCAAGTACTCTGAAGTTCAAAGTCATGAGTTGTTCAAGCAATGACTTTGACCCAGAGCAAACCATAGTACAGACATTAGCAATGCACCTCGCACACAAACAGGCC